CCTCAGATAAGCACATGCAAAATGGTGTTCTGAAGCTTGAGAAGATCTCAAAAAGATTTGACATTTTTGACCCCTGTAATTATGAAGAAACATGATGGTACTCCATCGTACGTACCTGCTGACATAAAGTCAAGACTTTGGGTCTTTTGGCATATAAGAAGATTCTTAAATGTTTAAAACATATTTGACACAAGTGACCTTGACAATAAGTCAAGGTGATTTGTATGATGACATTGTCATCAATGCATAGCACCCAATCCCTGGTATTTTTGGCCAAATATTAGTACCTTTGTCTTCAGGGCCTTAACATAATTCTTAAAATGTTACTATTTTTAATCAAATTTGACCCAGGTGACCTTCACAATAGATCAAGATCATTTGCATGAGAAAACATTGTTCTACTCTATCCCACGTATCTGCTGGTCAAACATCAATACAGTTAGTCTTCTGGAACTTGGGAAGGTTCTCAAAGATTTTTTAAAACCTATTTACCCATGTGATCTGAAAATAAACTTCGGTCATTAAGACAGATACCTGCTTGCCAAATATCAGGATCTCTGAAACTTAAGGAGAAGAATCTTACATTTTTTAACATTTTATTTCTGCGATCTCGAAATTAGGTCAAAGTCATTCATATAAGAAAAATTTCTAGGACTCTACTTCAGGTGCCCCCTGGCCAAATATCAGTACCCAGTTGTAAATAATTTTACAGAAGAAAGTTCAAAGATGACAAGACTACCAAACAATGAATTCTTCACTTTACCATAAGCTCATTGCCACTAAATTATGTCATGTCAGCTTAAACTTGATGAAATGTGGGCAAAATATTTGTAAAGCTAAGATTTAAGAGGAGACCCTTGAAAAAGCAAAGAGAAAAGGACCATGCATTCAAAAGTAGTAAGAATTTTCTGCTTCATCCATCACCAACGATATAAAGTAATGTCATGTCCTCCAATCAGAACCAAGTTTATAACAATGAAAACATCTGACATACATATACTGACAAGCATCCAACAAATCTAACTTCAATGTCAGAATGGATTTAAGAACGACCTTGCCAATGTTAGTGTGAAATTTTGAAGATTTCTATTTATGGGACAATACCTCAGAAAAATGACAAGTATTTGGGTTTGTTTATTGATGTTTCTCTGAACTATTGTAGAGAGGTTTTATTGGTGTTGGAAACCTTCCTGGCTAATTTCTACTGTTTAATGATGCAAACTTACCAAGTTCAAAACAAGTCAAAATTATTTTTCCATTTTCACAGTTTTTAAAAAATATCAGGTCACTGTTAAACCTCAATTAAATTGAATATTTTGATATTTTGCAGGTCAATCTCTCTGTAAGTTTTGTTTTATCAAACAATGATGGAGACACAACAGCATCAATGAAGTAATGAAATTATAGGTCTTAAAACTTTCAAATGCAATTTTAATACAAAAGTAAATATTATTTCAAAGCATTTCACATATAGAAATGAAGGATCATACATATATATTTTCAACAATAACATCATGTCTTACACTCTTTATCTTTCAAACAATAAAACAGTCATTGAACTGCCACCAGTAAACATGATAACAGTCTGTTACAGGTAGCAGATTTGGTGTGCAATGGTACCAAACACCTGGGTTCATTAACATAAATGAACAACATTTACCTCCATCACTAGTCCAGTTTAATAATGTCTACCTCCATCTCTAGTCCAGTTTAATAATGTCTACCTCCATCTCTAGTCCAGTTTAATAATGTCTACCTCCATCTCTAGTCCAGTTTAATAATGTCTACCTCCATCTCTAGTCCAGTTTAATAATGTCTACCTCCATCTCTAGTCCAGTTTAATAATGTCTACCTCCATCTCTAGTCCAGTCCAATAATGTCTACCTCCATCTCTAGTCCAGTTTAATAATGTCTACCTCCATCTCTAGTCCAGTTTAATAATGTCTACCTCCATCTCTAGTCCAGTTTAATAATGTCTACCTCCATCTCTAGTCCAGTTTAATAATGTCTACCTCCATCTCTAGTCCAGTTTAATAATGTCTACCTCCATCTCTAGTCCAGTCCAATAATGTCTACCTCCATCTCTAGTCCAGTTTAATAATGTCTACCTCCATCTCTAGTCCAGTCCAATAATGTCTACCTCCATCTCTAGTCCAGTTTAATAATGTCTACCTCCATCTCTAGTCCAGTTTAATAATGTCTACCTCCATCTCTAGTCCAGTTTAATAATGTCTACCTCCATCTCTAGTCCAGTTTAATAATGTCTACCTCCATCTCTAGTCCAGTTTAATAATGTCTACCTCCATCTCTAGTCCAGTTTAATAATGTCTACCTCCATCTCTAGTCCAGTTTAATAATGTCTACCTCCATCTCTAGTCCAGTTTAATAATGTCTACCTCCATCTCTAGTCCAGTTTAATAATGTCTACCTCCATCTCTAGTCCAGTTTAATAATGTCTACCTCCATCTCTAGTCCAGTTTAATAATGTCTACCTCCATCTCTAGTCCAGTTTAATAATGTCTACCTCCATCTCTAGTCCAGTTTAATAATGTCTACCTCCATCTCTAGTCCAGTTTAATAATGTCTACCTCCATCTCTAGTCCAGTTTAATAATGTCTACCTCCATCTCTAGTCCAGTTTAATAATGTCTACCTCCATCTCTAGTCCAGTTTAATAATGTCTACCTCCATCTCTAGTCCAGTTTAATAATGTCTACCTCCATCTCTAGTCCAGTTTAATAATGTCTACCTCCATCTCTAGTCCAGTTTAATAATGTCTACCTCCATCTCTAGTCCAGTTTAATAATGTCTACCTCCATCTCTAGTCCAGTTTAATAATGTCTACCTCCATCTCTAGTCCAGTTTAATAATGTCTACCTCCATCTCTAGTCCAGTTTAATAATGTCTACCTCCATCTCTAGTCCAGTTTAATAATGTCTACCTCCATCTCTAGTCCAGTTTAATAATGTCTACCTCCATCTCTAGTCCAGTTTAATAATGTCTACCTCCATCTCTAGTCCAGTTTAATAATGTCTAATGTCCTCCATCTCTAGTCCAGTTTAATAATGTCTACCTCCATCTCTAGTCCAGTTTAATAATGTCTACCTCCATCTCTAGTCCAGTTTAATAATGTCTACCTCCATCTCTAGTCCAGTTTAATAATGTCTACCTCCATCTCTAGTCCAGTTTAATAATGTCTACCTCCATCTCTAGTCCAGTTTAATAATGTCTACCTCCATCTCTAGTCCAGTTTAATAATGTCTACCTCCATCTCTAGTCCAGTTTAATAATGTCTACCTCCATCTCTAGTCCAGTTTAATAATGTCTACCTATCTCTAGTCCAGTTTAATAATGTCTACCTCCATCTCTAGTCCAGTTTAATAATGTCTACCTCCATCTCTAGTCCAGTTTAATAATGTCTACCTCCATCTCTAGTCCAGTTTAATAATGTCTACCTCCATCTCTAGTCCAGTTTAATAATGTCTACCTCCATCTCTAGTCCAGTTTAATAATGTCTACCTCCATCTCTAGTCCAGTTTAATAATGTCTACCTCCATCTCTAGTCCAGTTTAATAATGTCTACCTCCATCTCTAGTCCAGTTTAATAATGTCTACCTCCATCTCTAGTCCAGTTTAATAATGTCTACCTCCATCTCTAGTTAATGTCTACCTCCATCTCTAGTGTTTAATAATGTCAGTCTAATAGTTTAATAATGTCTACCTCCATGTCTACCTCCATCTCTAGTCCAGTTTAATAATGTCTACCTCCATCTCTAGTCCAGTTTAATAATGTCTACCTCCATCTCTAGTCCAGTTTAATAATGTCTACCTCCATCTCTAGTCCAGTTTAATAATGTCTACCTCCATCTCTAGTCCAGTTTAATAATGTCTACCTCCATCTCTAGTCCAGTTTAATAATGTCTACCTCCATCTCTAGTCCAGTTTAATAATGTCTACCTCCATCTCTAGTCCAGTTTAATAATGTCTACCTCCATCTCTAGTCCAGTTTAATAATGTCTACCTCCATCTCTAGTCCAGTTTAATAATGTCTACCTCCATCTCTAGTCCAGTTTAATAATGTCTACCTCCATCTCTAGTCCAGTTTAATAATGTCTACCTCCATCTCTAGTCCATCTCTAGTCCAGTTTAATAATGTCTACCTCCATCTCTAGTCCAGTTTAATAATGTCTACCTCCATCTCTAGTCCAGTTTAATAATGTCTACCTCCATCTCTAGTCCAGTTTAATAATGTCTACCTCCATCTCTAGTCCAGTTTAATAATGTCTACCTCCATCTCTAGTCCAGTTTAATAATGTCTACCTCCATCTCTAGTCCAGTTTAATAATGTCTACCTCCATCTCTAGTCCAGTTTAATAATGTCTACCTCCATCTCTAGTCCAGTTTAATAATGTCTACCTCCATCTCTAGTCCAGTTTAATAATGTCTACCTCCATCTCTAGTCCAGTTTAATAATGTCTACCTCCATCTCTAGTCCAGTTTAATAATGTCTATAATAATGTCTACCTCCATCTCTAGTCCAGTTTAATAATGTCTACCTCCATCTCTAGTCCAGTTTAATAATGTCTACCTCCATCTCTAGTCCAGTTTAATAATGTCTACCTCCATCTCTAGTCCAGTTTAATAATGTCTACCTCCATCTCTAGTCCAGTTTAATAATGTCTACCTCCATCTCTAGTCCAGTCCAATAATGTCTACCTCCATCTCTAGTCCAGTTTAATAATGTCTACCTCCATCTCTAGTCCAGTTTAATAATGTCTACCTCCATCTCTAGTCCAGTTTAATGTCTACCTCCATCTCTAGTCCAGTTTAATAATGTCTACCTCCATCTCTAGTCCAGTTTAATAATGTCTACCTCCATCTCTAGTCCAGTTTAATAATGTCTACCTCCATCTCTAGTCCAGTTTAATAATGTCTACCTCCATCTCTAGTCCAGTTTAATAATGTCTACCTCCATCTCTAGTCCAGTTTAATAATGTCTACCTCCATCTCTAGTCCAGTTTAATAATGTCTACCTCCATCTCTAGTCCAGTTTAATAATGTCTACCTCCATCTCTAGTCCAATTTAATAATGTCAACCTCCATCTCTAGTCCAGTCTAATAATGTCAACCTCCATCTCTAGTCCAGTTTAATAATGTCTACCTCCATCTCTAGTCCAGCCCAGTAATGTCTACCTCCATCACTAGTCCAGCCCAGTAATGTCTACCTCCATCACTAGTCCAGTCCAATTAAGTCTACCTCTCTCTAGTCCAGTACAAAAATGTCTACCTCCATCTCTAGTCCAGTCCAATGAAGTGTACCTCTCTCTTTAGTCCAGTCCAATGAAGTGTACCTCTCTCTTTAGTCCAGTCCAATGAAGTGTACCTCTCTCTTTAGTCCAGTCCAATAATGCATATGTCCATCTCTCCATCTCCAGCTGAATAACATCTACCTCTACCTCTAATCCAGTATTTTTTTTTGAGTTCTGAGGTTCTATCTTTCTTGTCCTTTAGCCTCTCACTGAGGGATTTATTTGTTGTTTCAGGAATTTTATCTGTCCTTGTTGAGTATATGTACCGGTAACATCTAACTGGATGTCCAAGTGCCCAGTATTTTTTATACAGTATCAACGTCCTGTGATTCAGCATCTTCTGTTTTGAAACAAGTTTGATGTTCTTTTCACATTTCAAGCAATCCATATTCAGAAGCTTCTTCATGGAAATTCCTGCTACAGCTCTGTTTCAGTAATCTCTACCCTGTGTTCCACCACGACAGGAGACCTAAGCCAGGCTCGCTGATGGTTCCCTGTGAACACACAAATCAATCCTGTTTACAAAATCTACGACAACATAACAAATTACTCATCCCCTAATGATTCAATATTTTCATCTCAACCTGTCAAATATTGTCTGATTTAAACACATTCCATAACTTAACTCAAATAATGAACACAATATGTGTGTAAAATGGTGGCAGAGTTCAATCTAAAACAGAAATTGCCTGCAATGCAAGATTATACTATGTTAGTAAATACATGTACTTAAAAAATGTGTCATAGATTCATTGGATTCTGTGCACCATATACTGGAATGATGTTGGCCTGTGTGGTTCAAAAACAGGTTCATCAAACATTTTGTGTCTTTAAATTTCCAGTTTTAATGCTCGATTATGCTGGATGTCCCACCCCTATCATTACATGGCTATGGTAATTGTATTTTAGGGAGGTAAACAGATTAGCCAGTACACTATTCTACCCTGATGGACAGGCTGTCGTGTCCTGTGTGGCTACAAGAAATAAAACCTACAATTTGTCAGGTTGTACGAATCAATATCAAGAGAGATACATGAAAAGATGCCTTCAGACAGGAGAAGTGAATTCACAGAAACTGTAAGCAATAGAGTATAATTACTTTTTGGAGATCTAAGTAATTGAAACACTTCAGATGTGCATGTATAGTAACCATTAAGATCCCCTTAGCATTTGCCAAATCTTTATAAACGAGTACACATTCCTTTAAATCAGGATAAAACATACTGTTTCCACGGAGTTTAAAATCTCAAAAAGAGTTGCTTGGAATTCTTCAGCATCTGTAATTTAAGTATTGACCAAGAAGCAATTCCACCTAATTTGAGACTGACAGTATCCGATTATTTTACCGAAAACAAAATAGCTGTTGATGTGAACCATGTCGGAGATATCTCCTGGGTATGACAGCTAGGCTCATCTCTAGTAATTCACAATATCAATGCTATCAACATAATGATATCAAATACCAAGAGTATTTCCAAGTATCAGCCAAATCTTCATCAACTTTCTTTAATTATCAGTATCAGATCAGAGAAACTAATAACAATAGAGTTAGTGCTCCCTGAATATCAAATTAAAGACACGACGGCTTTTATTCCTCACAGAATAAGCTTGAAGGGAGCAACAGAGAGTTCTTCCTGGTTACCAAGTCATACTCACTGTTTCACAGTGTATCACTCATCAGTGTACTTAAAAGTGATATTCAAAATTATACAATATATACAACATTACACAATTTACCAATGATAAGTGAAGAAATTAAAGCTGTATGTGATTTTACACAATTTACCAGTGATTGGTGATTAATTTAAGGCTGTATATGACACTTACACAATTTTTGCAGTCATTTGTGATACATTTTAAACTGTATGTGACATCTGCAATTGTTGGTCTTTTTTTAAATACTTTGGGCTGTATGTGACATAATTATGCAAATTTTGTGTGATTTATGGTGAATTTATAACTTTACAAAATTTGACATTATAGACTTTAGTTCAAATGGTGTATATACAACTCTACACAATTTACCTGTGTTGTGACTATATATAACACTACACAATTTACCAGTGTTGTGACTATATACAACACTACACAATTTACTAGTGTTGTGACTATATACAACACTACACAATTTACCTGTGTTGTGACTATATACAACACTACACAATTTACCAGTGTTGTGGCTATACAACACTACACAATTTACCAGTGTTGTGACTATATACCACACTACACAATTTACCAGTGTTGTGACTATATACAACACTACACAATTTACCAGTGTTGTGACTATATACAACACTACACAATTTACCAGTGTTGTGACTATATACAACACTACACAATTTACCAGTGTTGTGACTATATACAACACTACACAATTTACCTGTGTTGTGACTATATACAAAACTACACAATTTACCAGTGTTGTGGCTATACAACACTACACAATTTACCAGTGTTGTGACTATATACCACACTACACAATTTACCAGTGTTGTGACTATATACAACACTACACACTACACAATTTACCAGTGTTGTGACTATATACAACACTACACAATTTACCAGTGTTGTGACTATATACAACACTACACAATTTACCAGTGTTGTGGCTATACAACACTACACAATTTACCAGTGTTGTGACTATATACCACACTACACAATTTACCAGTGTTGTGATTATATACAACACTACACAATTTACCAGTGTTGTGACTATATACAACACTACACAATTTACCAGTGTTGTGGCTATACAACACTACACAATTTACCAGTGTTGTGACTATATACAACACTACACAATTTACCAGTGTTGTGACTATATACAACACTACACAATTTACCAGTGTTGTGACTATATACAACACTACACAATTTACCAGTGTTGTGACTATATACAACACTACACAATTTACCACTATATACAACACTACACAATTTACCAGTGTTGTGACTATATACAACACTACACAATTTACCTGTGTTGTGACTATATACAACACTATTTACCAGTGTTGTGACTATATACCACACTACACAATTTACCAGTGTTGTGACTATATACAACACTACACAATTTACCAGTGTTGTGACTATATACAACACTACACAATTTACCAGTGTTGTGGCTATACAACACTACACAATTTACCAGTGTTGTGACTATATATAACACTACACAATTTACCAGTGTTGTGACTATATATAACACTACACAATTTACCAGTGTTGTGACTATATATAACACTACACAATTTACCTGTGTTAAGGCTAAATATGTATCTATATATACTGTTGAGGCTAGATTTAGGGCTTAAATACAAAATTTGCAGCTGACCGGGAGTCTTGCACTTTTCCCCCAAATTCTTCTCATTTTACTCAGGTCGTGGAATACTCAGGCCAGATGTAACACTTACTATGATGATTTCAAGAGATAATCAAGCTATGACTTAAAGACAAATTTAGTTCATAACTGCTGATACGAACTTCCTTCAAAAATCCTCTGGGTTAAGAACTCAGAAAGCTAATAACAGAAATAGATTTTCTTTAGTTTAATGCATTTATTAATGTGAAGAAACCAAAAAAAAAAACAAATCTGATTCTGTCCAATGTTTGATGTGGCAGTAACCAATCCAAAGACCATTGTTAAACCATACATTGATGGCCGTGTCACAAAGACAGGGCAACATTTATTGGCAATGTTTAGATAAAATTTGTGTAATGGATCTGTAACATCATATTCAAGTACTTTGTACAAAACATCACAGCATATAATTGATAAATTTCCAATAATAACATCATGATGAATATTCCAAGGAAATACAAATAATGATGTCATGACTATTCATGTGTCAAGCGATTCAAGTACAGGAGCTGTGTCACCCTTAATGGACAGTGATATAAAGCCTCCACACACCCACACACTTATTCCAATAGACAGAAATAGAAAGTATTACAATAACACATCATGTGTGGACAACAACCGCCGGAAGTGAGGGATAAGCTGTAGCTTTAAAACCCCTCAGTTACTTCACATGTCAATTTATTTCTGAGAAACAGGATGTCACTTTCAAAGCAAAGCCACTTGTAACCATGTATCATTCTCCAGTTTCAGGAAATGTTACAGGAGACCAACAAGGTCTCTGGGCTGAGGAATAGGTCAGGAGAGTGATTTTTATATCCTTCAATTATGGTCTGTAGCACCTTGAACTGACATTCCACCTCCACATGGTAGGCAGTTCTGACTGCATAGTCAGTCCTCTCTACTTATCCTTAGCAGGCTTGCTTATGTGGCCTGGTTCCAATAAATTTGAACTTCAAAAACAAAGCTATTGGTACTATGGTCGACATTTCAAACCCTGCCTTACTCTTGTAAGGGAAATTGCTGTGCTAGCTCCGGGTCATACATTTCAAATAACCCTTCCAGGATCATCATCACCCATGTCGTGCTTTTCAACTAAACCCTATTGGGCAACTGTGGAATCTTGTTTTCCAACTGCTGATCATTATCATAATGCAAGATTTTTGTTGCCCTGGACAAAATGTGAGACTTTTTAAAAAAAAAACTTAACATTGATGTATAACTCTAGACCTATTGCTTACACTTCTGATATACCTACGTGGTCAACTGTCATCTCTTCCCAATATCACTTTTTAAGCAATTGTGGCTCTAATATCAAAATAGGTCTGTTAGGCAACAGTGGCCTCTATATCACTATAGCTGTTGCCTGGTAACAGTCATCTTTCCAAACAGTCCTTGTTACGTGAAAATGGCAATACTTCTAGACCTTCCAATTTGGCTCTGTCTCTCTTGTCAGACCAAAACACAAGCTGAATGGCATAATAGACTACGGATGTTAGTGAACATAGTCACCATGATTGGAAAGTAGCTAGGTTCTCTAAGCATTACTGTGTAGACGATAAGAAACTGTAATTTGAATGACAGAACTACTCTTAATGATCCTTAGGCTACAGAAATAACACCAGGAGCTATTTACCTAAAAAGTCCTAAAACCTAATGCCTCCTTTTTATCATTTTCATTACTGGAGCACTTCAATATTGAATAAATGATATTAGCTTTTAAGATGACAGGGATGGTTAACACCACTTGATTAAGCTTGGTGTTGAAGTGAAGGCTTTGACAGTTTGGCACAGGGCTCTGGAGAGAGTGACAGTTACATGTTGGTAGGTTATTTACTGTATATGACACTGTTACATCACAGCACTAATTACAAGTCTGTTAAACCAATTACACTCATGTAGCAGACACATCATTAAGCTCCATCTTATGTATTTCAGAAGGACAAGACAAGGTAATGAAATTACATAAGACAAAATATTTCTATTTTCAAATGCATTTAGAGCTATTTATGGTATTTCTGGACCATTCAACAATGTGGAAAGAAAACTTGTTTATATGAAAAATGTTATCAATGAGTAATAACAAGGAAATAGTAACATGTTAACAGAATCTTTATCTGAAGTCTAATCTGATAAAATCAGGTCAAAGTTTGACCAAAAGAAAGATTTATTAAAAAGATTCCTGAAAAAAGTACAAAGATAATAAAACCAAGTGTTCCTGAAGGGTATGTGTCTTCTGCTTCAACCACAACATCCACTGTGTAAATGTTTGTCAATAAAAGAATGTAATGCCGCATTTCAAATGAGAAAATGGTAAACAACAATGGAACCAACAGGCAAACTTATGTGTATCAAATATGTTCATCTTCATAACACACAAAGAAATAGAATATTTCTCAGTGACATCACCGTGAATTCAGACGGTAAGACTTCCCAATAATTTTCACCAACCTCAACTGATGATACATTGGTTTAGGTTAAAGTTCAAGTAGGTCTTAAAACCAGGTACAGTAAATCACTTATAATGCTTTTAATTCAGTTTACACTTCTGTAGGATTGGTATATACTTAATCATACAATCACAAACAAATATGCTAGACATATATTCCTTTCAGACATCTTCAGAACTTTGTACTTTTAAACGACATCCCGTATTGCACACTGCAGAACTTCACAGAATGGCATCAATCAAATGTACAGCTATAGGTCAGAGGTCAGAGGTTGAACATGTGTGCTGCAATAGATGTAAATCCCCAATGCTTTTTCTGTGTTCGAAAGGTGCTAAAATATTTAGCATAACAGAAAAACATGCAAAAACATCTAGTTTATTACATTACAAAATAAACAGTAGGAAAAATGCCAAGGACATATCGCTTGAATGACTTCTGTATAATTAGTGTAAACATGTTACAAAGCATAACATTAAACACTGTACAATACATCTGGCCTATTTAAGTCCTGTCGTCTAACTGTACCTTGAAAACAATTCTCTTCAAACAGAAAAGCATGTTTTAATTCACATTTTGTTTTGTCTTCATACTAGCCTATACTCTTGTAAAATTCAGTATGGACACAAAATATCAAATGTTATCAGACTAATATGACTTATAAAGCATAGCCATATTTGCCTATATAGAAGCTTTCAAGAGTTCATATGTCTTACAGCTCATCATTCGCATATTCAAAGTTATTTCTATATAAGCAGTTGTAAAATCATATATTCACAAAAAATAACTGCAGAGGTGAGTTCACAAAATAAAATATTCACGAAATCTAAAAGATTTACAGTATACAGAAGGCCAGTACATCACATCCTCTTATAACCAGGTAAGGCCAGTACATCACATCCTCTTATAACCAGGTATACAGAAGGCCAGTACATCACATCCTCTTATAACCAGGTATACAGAAGGCCAGTACATCACATCCTCTTATAACCAGGTATACAGAAGGCCATTGCATTACATCCTCTTATAACCAGGTATACGGAAGGCCAGTACATCACTTCCTCTTATAACCAGGTATACAGAAGGCCAGTACATCACTTCCTCTTATAACCAGGTAAGGCCAGTACATCACATCCTCTTATAACCAGGTATACAGAAGGCCAGTGCATCACATCCTCTTATAACCAGGTAAGGCCAGTACATCACATCCTCTTATAACCAGGTAAGGCCAGTACATCACATCCTCTTATAACCAGGTATACAGAAGGCCAGTGCATCACATCCTCTTGTAACCAGGTATACAGAAGGCCAGTACATCACTTCCTCTTATAACCAGGTATACAGAAGGCCATTGCATTACATCCTCTTATAACCAGGTATACGGAAGGCCAGTACATCACTTCCTCTTATAACCAGGTATACAGAAGGCCAGTACATCACTTCCTCTTATAACCAGGTATACAGAAGGCCAGTACATCACTTCCTCTTATAACCAGGTAAGGCCAGTACATCACATCCTCTTATAAACAGGTAAGGCCAGTGCATTAAATCCTCTTATAACCAGGTATACAGAAGGCCAGTACATCACTTCCTCTTATAACCAGGTATACAGAAGCCAGTGCATCACATCCTCTTATAACCAGGTATACAGAAGGCCAGTACATCACTTCCTCTTATAACCAGGTATACAGAAGGCCAGTACATCACTTCCTCTTATAACCAGGTATACAGAAGGCCAGTACATCACTTCCTCTTATAACCAGGTAAGGCCAGTACATCACATCCTCTTATAAACAGGTAAGGCCAGTGCATTAAATCCTCTTATAACCAGGTATACAGAAGGCCAGTACATCACTTCCTCTTATAACCAGGTATACAGAAGCCAGTGCATCACATCCTCTTATAACCAGGTATACAGAAGGCCAGTACATCACACCCTCTTATAACCAGGTATACAGAAGGCCAGTACAACACATCCTCTTATAACCAGGTATACAGAAGGCCAGTACATCACTTCCTCTTATAACCAGGTAAGGCCAGTACATCACATCCTCTTATAACCAGGTATACAGAAGGCCAGTGCATCACATCCTCTTGTAACCAGGTATACAGAAGGCCAGTACATCACTTCCTCTTATAACCAGGTATACAGAAGGCCATTGCATTACATCCTCTTATAACCAGGTATACGGAAGGCCAGTACATCACTTCCTCTTATAACCAGGTATACAGAAGGCCAGTACATCACTTCCTCTTATAACCAGGTATACAGAAGGCCAGTACATCACTTCCTCTTATAACCAGGTAAGGCCAGTACATCACATCCTCTTATAAACAGGTAAGGCCAGTGCATTAAATCCTCTTATAGCCAGGTATACAGAAGGCCAGTACATCACATCCTCTTATAACCAGGTATACAGAAGCCAGTGCATCACATCCTCTTATAACCAGGTATACAGAAGGCCAGTACATCACTTCCTCTTATAACCAGGTATACAGAAGGCCAGTACATCACATCCTCTTATAACCAGGTATACAGAAGCCAGTACATCACATCCTCTTATAACCAGGTATACAGAAGGCCAGTGCATTAAATCCTCTTATAACCAGGTATACAGAAGGCCAGTACATCACTTCCTCTTATAACCAGGTATACAGAAGCCAGTGCATCACATCCTCTTATAACCAGGTATACAGAAGGCCAGTACATCACACCCTCTTATAACCAGGTATACAGAAGGCCAGTACAACACATCCTCTTATAACCAGGTACACAGATGGCCAGTACATCACACCCTCTTATAACCAGGTATACAGAAGGCCAGTACATCACATCCTCTTATAGCCAGGTATACAGAAGGCCAGTACATCACATCCTCTTATAACCAGGTATACAGATGGCCAGTACATCACATCCTCTTATAGCCAGGTATACAGAAGGCCAGTACATCACATCCTCTTATAACCAGGTATACAGATGGCCAGTACATCACATCTTCTTATAACCAGGTATACAGAAGGCCAGTACATCACATCTTCTTATAACCAGGTAAACAGAAGGCCAGTACATCACATCTTTTTATAACCAGGTATACAGATGGCTAGTACATCACATCTTTTTATAACCAGGTAAACAGAAGGCCAGTACATCCTTATATACTGACAAATCACATACTGTGCCAGAGGGATATACTATTTAATGTTTAAATATGACATGCATTACATATTCTCAGGAAAGGAATTTCCTGACCTTGATATGAATAACTAAGAGAAGGTACTTATTGAAATAGACAACCATGATAAGGGAGGTATTGTATGTGGTGAGAGATATCATAGCTGGGGAACGCTTTTTGTCTCATGGCATCATAGGCAGGCCAAAATTATAACAAGCAGAGATATTGTTTGCCTTCAACATATACTATAAGGTAGGATAATGTTTGACCTTGACAGACAATATAAAGTAGGATGTTTTATGAATCTGGCAGAAATTACAAGGCAAAATATCGCTTGACATTGCGGGACATTATGAGAAAGGAGATTGTTTGACAATGCATATCATTTGACCTTGATACACATTGCAAGGTGAGACACTACTTCACCTTGACAATCATTACAAGGTGAGATAGTGTTTGACCTTGATTGATGTACAATGTGCATTTGTTGGTTTTATCACCCAGTGAACATCCAGAGTCATTTACAAGGTCAGATATTGTTTGGCCAATAAGTAAATCACATATTTTTTTTTTATAAGGGAAGATAAAATTTGATTTAAAGAGGTTTGATAATGTTACAGAGCATCTTAACTGATGACATTGCAGGGATCAAATGAAAATGGATTATAACAGATCTCACCACAATAGTGTAGGGTGCCTTCTTGACTTCTGTGTCTGCTATTTCCTCTCCTGCTGCATTTTCTGGACTTGAAGGCGTTGTATCTACAAATATCTCGTCAGAAACACGAAATCTGAAAAATTTAAATATATATGTTTAGGACTACATTACACAAAACTGTTAACAGTTTCCTGACTGCTTAAGACTACATGCCTGCAGCATTTGTGTTATTTGATGAAACATTCTTGATGTAAACCTGACTTTTATCATAACTAACAATGGTCTTACGAAGTTTGCTTCACTACTATTCTGTTTATAATTTACAGCTTTACTCACACTTTTTCATTTCAAACAATTAAAAAGTAAATAAAAGAATGAATGCTAAGAGAAGAAAAGCAAGATGTGTTAATGAAACACTATGCCCCCAGTTGCAACAAAATTTTGAAGTGGGACATTAAAACTGTAGTGTGTTAGGTATGTGCTAATTGCATGTACACTTTGTAAAATGCATGTGTCTTCATTGTGTTAGTTTTTATTTATTTTTTTTTTCAACTTTCAAATGAAAGGTCTTGACACAAGGAGCACACATGCAAAATATGAAATGCATTACCTCTTATGATGCAATAGTTATGGAAAATGTTCAAATTTTTCAAATGTAGGTCAAAGGTCACCATAAAGGTCACATGGCAAAAATTGTTAGTACTATTTGGAAAGGTCTTGTCAAAAGGAGCACACATGCCAAATATAAAGGTCATACCTCTTATGGTGCAATAGTTATAGGCAAGGTTAAAGTTGACAACAGACTAACAGACAACAAAAACAATATGCTCCGAATCCAGAGGAGTGGGACTGGTATTTACCCTACAGTGTTACAGTGTGTTACAGAGGAGGAGTGGGACTGGTATTTACCCTACAGTGTTACAGTGTGTGTTACAGAGGAGGAGTGGGACTGGTATTTACCCTACAGTGTTACAGTGTGTGTTACAGAGGAGGAGTGGGACTGGTATTTACCCTACAGTGTTACAGTGTGTTATGGTGCAATAGTTATAGGCAAGGTTAAAGTTGAGAGGAGGAGTGGGACTGGTATTTACCCTACAGTGTTACAGTGTGCGTACAGAGGAGGAGTGGGACTGGTATTTACCCTACAGTGTTACAGTGTGCGTACAGAGGAGGAGTGGGACTGGTATTTACCCTACAGTGTTACAGTGTGTTACAGAGGAAGAGTGGGACTGGTATTTACCCTACAGTGTTACAGTGTGCGTACAGAGGAGGAGTGGGACTGGTATTTACCCTACAGTGTTACAGTGTGTTACAGAGGAAGAGTGGGACTGGTATTTACCCTACAGTGTTACAGTGTGTTACAGAGGAAGAGTGGGACTGGTATTTACCCTACAGTGTTACAGTGTGTTACAGAGGAGGAGTGGGACTGGTATTTACCCTACAGTGTTACAGTGTGTTACAGTGGAGGAGTGGGACTGGTATTTACCCTACAGTGTTACAGTGTGTGTACAGAGGAGGAGTGGGACTGGTATTTACCCTACAATGTTACAGTGTGTGTTACAGCGGTGGAGTGGGACTGGTATTTTTCCCTGTAGTGATACTGTTTGAGGTATAGAGAATAAAAAACCCCGTGTGTACACAGAGTTTCAACACAACCTCCCACTATTGGCCATGGCAAAGGACACTTTACTGAGCAATAATTAACCTCAGGAGGTTTCATGTTATATATGTTTGATTACACCTGCTACATCTCTTGGCATTGGGTCAGTTGTGAAAGGGTAGACAAGAGGGCTAACTTGTTATAATTACACTGAGGTGGTGTGAGGTACACTATCAAAACACACATCAAACCACTATAGGACTATTCAGCAAACATTGCCATCCTGTGGTCTATGATACTGCATTCTAAGAGAGAAAATCGGTTAAGTACCAAAAGATATGCAGAACTGAACTTGAGTGTTTCTCAAAATTATTTATATTAGGTTGAATTTTCATTGTGAAACTAGATTCACCGTCAAAGTGAAAAAAAAACCTGTTGCAGAACAGCGCGACTTGCTCACATATCAGGTTGTCAGTAACAAATGGAAGAGATATATTTTGGCATTAGTGTATTGTCTATTGACATATTCCCAAACTTAATACTTTGTAATGAAATTTGTTTTGACAACCTGCCAAGTTAAACCACACAGGAACCCTGATTCCAATCATAAAATCGTGTACTAATGTCTTTCAACACATTGCACTAAAATCTCAACTATCAGATTGTGTCAAAAAACAGGCTTTCATCCCTTTATAAACCTTGTAATCTGACCCTGGGAATGGACAGTTTAACCCCACAGGGATCCTGATACAAAACCTCAGTACCCTTGTACTATTATAAAGTGATGCGTAAATGTCTCTCAACACTTCTTTAAAGAAACAAACCAAAAATTACAAGAATAATACATTAAAAGTCTAGAACATTTTTATATGAAAAATTTATTTGGTCAGTAAGCATGTTTTTCTGATTTTACAACTGTATCAAAGAGGTGACAAATTCTGTTCACCCATCCAAAAAGGTCTCCATAAAGAACTGACAGATGTATATATATATATTTGATTGTGTGATTTATTTACTTTTCTCTCTAGATATATCCTTTATATCTCATATTAAGTCCAGGTTTGATAAAAAGCCAACCTTTCTCTATTTGCTGTTACGTAGATTTAACATTAAACACTAATTTGTGATCTTGTAAAAGCCCCTGACAGTGACTCAGAAATAATGTGCTAGCCCATGGGGGTTTCTTCAAGATAAATACGGTATATGAATTATTAACTCTGGAGTTATATTCACAATACATTAGGAATGTAAATTATTAGGTAGTAATAATATTTACTGATGTTATCAATCCCATTTTGTTACTGGTTTGGCTATTTTTAAACGGTATAAAATAATTTGGTATTTAATATATTGAAGAAAGCTAATGTGTATGTGTTACCAAAACCAGTTACATTACCGAAAGGATGATATACACGAAATAGCATCAATAATGAATCAAAATAATAGAGCTTGTTCTAAAAATACTCAATAATTTCTTATCCCAACATATTGGTATAATATCCTGAATTCTTAAAGCACAAGTCTTACGGATATTAGATATTGTAATAAATAACTTGGGAGAGCTCCATTACATGTAATGAGGAAACAGACAGATGAAATAGACTTCTTCACCAGCTTGAGGAAATACCTAGTACGTACAATTCTATTTAATCATGATCTCCTAGTTAATTAACGTAAAAAGTCTTGACATTTGAAATGATATCAATTCCAAGTGAAAAAGAACCTCCTTCAGGTAAGATTTCTTTGATACCGTTCAGAAATAAAAATTCCTTAGGTATGCCATTTAAATGTAACTCTAGGAAAGTAATTATGTACATGAACATATGTAGTGGTAACATCATTGTGCTTGTTGCCTGCAGCTAATAGGAAATTTTTGAAATAATGATTTTCCATCCTCCACATCTTATAAAAGCTATATCTTTAGAGAGATGCTGAGTGCCTGGGTAGACTGACAGACAGCTACACTATAAACCCTTCCTTCCAATGTAATAGGTTTATAGCTCTCTAAGAGATATTTATGGAAACTAACCTTTCAATAATAAAATGTGTCAGTCATTAAAATGCTCTACACTTTTACTTTCCTGCATATTCTACCAAGATTTTGAGCAATTAGTTCCCCTAACACCTACAAAAGGCAGTTTTTTGAGCCAATTTCCTATAAACAAAATGACTGGCCAGGTAATATTGTCCCAGTATATTTGAAAGTCCTGCCATAAAACCTAAATCATTTCTTTTTTTTACCAGCTTCAAGAATACCATAAGACACATCTGTGACAACTCTTTATTAAGCTTAGACAGAAAACAAAAATCTCCTGAATTCTACATCTCGGTGGTCTACTAAAATAATTCCCTCTTCACTAATCTACTTATATCTACTTAAAATATGGAAGCAGTGGCTGACAGAAATCCATGGTAGTGAGCATTCAATTCTGTTACTTTCCAGATCACACTGGTTGCAAGAATTGTTTCTGAGATCTTTCTATAATCATTTCAGGATGAGTTTTAATAATTTAGACTATCATGCTTCACATAGCTTATGTCCAGCTATAAATAGATTCTATCTGATTTATACAGTGAGAATATTCAGTTGTTTTATTTGAGAAATCATAAAACACCAGCGTGGTCTCACGCTAAGAGGGATTTATAGAATCATTTAATCTCTTTCGGCTAAGATGGGGGCCTCAGGCTGAAGGGAAATCTTTTTTAAGTTGACTAATAATAAGGCTTGCAAATTATTTATCAATGTAAAAATCTTACCCAAAAGGTGGTGATCTTCAGCTAGCTTCATTCTATACAATTATAGTATGTTGATATTAACTATTTTAATGGCCACTGTTTCCTTTAGGATGATAGAGAACTGGACTAATCAAATATACTTTATTTCCCCTATTTGGCAGCCCTTCTTTCCCCAAGGGGCCAAGATCCACTGCTTACACAAAAACGATTCCCTGTCAGCTAAGAATACTTCATACTAACCTTGGGCAAAGTCCAATCATATCTAAAGGAAAAGCCCCACAGGCCCCAGGAGGCCAAGACCCACCATTTATAAAATAAATTGTTCCCCCTTCCCCTAAGGAAGCTTCTGACAAAATTTGGTCAAAACTCTGTAAATTGTTTATGTCTAGTAGTGATTTTTAGGAGTTGAAAGAAGGATGGATGGACAACGGATGCCATGATATGCTAAAAATGTAATAAAAGAATAGAAAATTGCTTTAAAACATGTTTGGCTTCATTTCCTTTTGAATCTGTAACAATGATCATAGCTGATTGTGAAGTAATCAACAATGTTTTATACCATATTTGGCTTCCTTCATAGACCAAATAAAGGTTCATGTTATACAGAATCAATAGCTTTGATAAAACAACTGTTTACTAGCATATATCAGTCAATATGTCCTTTGGCAGGAAATCAGACATTTTACAAGATGTCTGTTTGTTGTATACCAAAGCTGCCAATTTTCCTACACAAAATGACAAGGATCTTGATGAGAACACTAAACAGTGTCTTTAAAGGGACATTCTGCCCAAGTTAGGATTTCATACGATGCTTTTTGAGAAAAATTGAACAAAAACATCAACTAATGATCTTGTGGAAATCACATGACTCCATTCCCCCAAAAATTCACCTTTTGTCATTTATTTGAGGAAATTCCATTTAGGTCTAGCTAGATCTGTTTACTGATGTTCATGCTGCCCTGATGACGTCACAACAGGTTTGCTCCTGCGTAATACACTGTAAATGTTGCCACACTTATTTTTCATACAGGAATATCAATATCTGTTAGTGTCATTTCAATGTAGTTTGTGTTGTCATGGACAAATATAAAGGGGACAATGTCTTTTACTGATATACTAACTCTCTCGCCCTACATTCTAATTTTGTACTGGTCAGGGGTTATTTCCATCAATTTCCCCTGTCCGAAGTCATCACACGAAGGATATTTTATAGCTTATAATAATTTGAAGTTTTAAGAGATACATTTGAAAAATGTATGGTGCTACAAAAAATATTTGCAATTTTGGCGGAATACCTTTAAACATGCATGACCTTACAATAGGATGATCACATCAATATACAAGATATTTAACTGTAACCATCACTAAACATTGATTCCCAAAATAAATGCGCTACATGCTTTGTTAATTGTCTCTAATTATATCTCCTCTGTTTATGAACACTTGTATAACCTATCTGACCCTCCTTATATATAACTTCTATACATCTTCTTCCTTTTATCTGACTAATCTCCTGCTTTATACCTGTACCTGACCTCTATATACATGAGTATATGTCCTGCATGACCTATATACAGTCGAAACTTGTTATCACAAAATTTCAAGGGACTGCAGAAAACATTTTGACTTATCTGTATTTCGACTCAAAGGAATTGCACAATATGGTTAACGATATCAGTTTCCTGAAAGAAGTATGGCTACCACAGCATGCAAAGAGCGTAGTTTGATCTGATATTTGAAATGGCAGTCAATAAACAAATGAATCTATCCTACTTTCTCCTCTTATTGTTTATTCATGCAAAGAGTAAAACATATAATAACAGTTCCAACGAAATGAAGTTGTACTCACATTGTTCCATCCCGCATACGTGTACAATACCCTTACTGACCAAGCATATATACATCATATATTTTACAGAATGACATAAAACAAAATTTAAATTTGCTTTTGATACACTACAAGAAACGATGTATGAAGCCACAGATCATATCAATATGACTTTATTCTTAATAAATAAATGTATGAAAATTCGGCACTATGAAGTTTTTACCCCTTACAGAAAACATTGTACAAACACTTGACTTAACACACACAGATATAGACTCTATCAAAGAAAAATACTTTCAGCACTTCATTGTCCACACACAAAGTGCCTGATCACAGTCCTTTAGTTAACAAGTTTAAAATATGTTTCTTTTGGAATTGTGGGGTTCAGGATTTCGTCAAAACGTTTGTACTGGTTTGATGGTTTTGTTTTTATCATTCCTGAAGATGCACACAACCAAGCTAAATGTTTTCATGTTTTGTGTAAATGCGCTATGACACTAATTAAGAAGCAAATCTTTAATTGGATAATCAAACTGGTAATTAATCTTCAGTGACCAAGTGTTGTATGTACGATGGACAGATACGCCATAATTTGACATGTGTTATGCACAGATGACTTTCTACTCAGGTATTGATTGATTTCGTCAGAAGACGTGTCGATGTTTTGACAAAAAACATTTTCAACTAATGTCTTTTCCCTTGCTTTACAATCATCCAATCTAAAAATACGAAGATATAGAAGGGAAAATTTGGGACTTGAAAATTATTTCGTCTCAAATAGAATTTCGACTCCAGAGATTTTGAGACAGTGAGTTTCAACTGCACCTGAGTGTATGAATTAAGTGACCTCTATTTACAAGACTGTACATAGGCAGATGAAGAGGGGTCATACCCAGTGTATGCCTCCACCAAAAATGGATCAAAAAGCTAATTTTTCCAGGAATATACCACTTTAACAAGAGGTCCCTAGGGCCTGTATGGCTCACGTTGTTACAATGTTATACATGCTTATAGGTTGGGTATTTTAAATATTTCCAAAATAAAACTCAGTCACTTAGCCACTTTGACGGGAAAGACCATTGGGTAAATTCTTATATCATTACTCTTTCTCTTTTCATTCCCAGTAAGAGTTTATATGGTTATCAGGTTGGTATCTCAACTATATCTGCAAAGCATGCTACATACCGGTATACAGGTATAAATTGTGATGTCACTCAATTATGTACTGCTAACTGTCACCCGAAGTTCTAACAGTGAAAATGTAACATCTTTTGTCAATTATCAATTAAATTTCCTTGCATTTCCTCAACTTCAACATTATACATATATGTCTTAACCTATATATATATATATATATACATCAACCTTATACCTTGATGTAGATCCTGTGTGTTTGACTGTTAATATTTGAATAGAGCTTGGTATTGTCCATGAACAAATTTATGCAACACTCTATAAGCTCTAGAGTAATATAAGAAGTCACAAGATATTGAAAAAATTTATGGTAAAAGAAAAAACAAAATAATAACTTGTCCTGAATACAAAAGGCAAACCTAGGGCACTAAGTTGATAAATACAGAAAGATTTGATGAGTTGACTGGAACAGTTTTACAGCTGTAAACTGGAAAGGAAAGTAAACACTAATTTTGTGGGTTTTTTTGGCTATGCTTCCATGGTAACACAAAAAATGTAAAAAAAGAAACGTTGCTAATAGAAAAAGGCACAACTAGGGCACTAACTTAATATATACAGCAGGTTTTGTGAAGTTGAGTGGAATGGTTTTGAAGTTGTAGCCCGGTAAGGAAAGTTAACACTTATTTTGTGTTTCCATGGTAACAGAAAAGATATGAAAAATGAAATGTCATCAAAAGCAAAAGGCAAAACTAGGGCACTAACCTAATACATACAGAAAGTTTTGATGAGTTGAGTGAAATAATTTTGACGTTGTAGCCTGGAAAGGAAAGTAAACACTAATTTTTTTTTTTGGATATGTTTCCATGGAAACACAAAAAATTTAAAAAATGAAATGTTATCAATAGTAAAAGCACAATGAGGACACGTACTTAATATATTCAGCAGGTTTTGTGAAGCTGAGTGGAATGGTTTGAAGTTATAGCCCAGGCAGATGGATGCACGCATGGAGCCCAAATTAATATTCCCGACAAATTTGCTACACCAAGGGTCAATTCTTATATAACAAATGTGTTTACTTCTTGATGCCAAGCAATTATATACATACTGTTATGAGGAGGGGAGTTCAACTGTTTCAAAGATATCACCCAGAAATGAAGTCCAGAGGAGTGGGGACATACCCAAGTGCCAGTTCTTAGATTGTGAATGTATTAATCTCTTGATGCCCATATGGGTGAAATCCAATCATTCCTACAAGAGCTTTTTAAAGAACTAGCAATATTCTCCCTTTTGGGCTCCGCCCTCAGGCCCTGGAGGGCCATGACACAATATTTATACAGAGTATGTTCCCACCCCTAAAGATGCTTCTGACTAAAAATTATATGACCCACCTGCCCTATATACCTGAGTGTATGACCTACCAGACCCTTATACCCAAATGTACAACCTACTTGACCTACATACAGAAGTGTATGACCTACCTTACCTACCTAAGTGAAAGACCTACTTGACCAATATACCTGAGTGTTTGAACTACCTTACCATTACATCTGAGTGTACCACCTACCTAACCTATATACCTGAGTGTATGACCTACCTGACCTACCTAAGTGAAAGACCTACTTGACCAATATACCTGAGTGTTTGAACTACCTTACCATTACATCTGAGTGTACATCCATAATCGAGCTATATCAGTAAGTGTATACCCTATCTGACTTATATAAATGAGTGTATGACCAGCCTAATCTATATACCTGAGTGTACAACCTATTTGACAACCTATCTGATATATATACCTGAGTGTATGACCAACCTAACCTATAAACCCAAGTGTACAACCTATTTGACATATATACCTGAGTGTATCACCAACCTAACCTATATACCCGAGTGTACAGTCTATTTGACATATATACCTGAGTGTATGACCAACCTAACCTATATACCCGAGTGTACAATCTATTTGACATATATACCTGAGTGTATGACCAACCTAACCTATATACCCGAGTGTACAACCTATTTGACATATATAACTGAGTGTACAACCTATCTGACATATCTACCTGAGTGTATATCCTATCTGAACTACATGCCTGAGTGTTTTTACCTACCTGACCTCCTCTCCTATATCCATGTACAGATCATGTTTCTCCTCTTCCATTTGATACTCCCAGGCCCACAGCTGTTCCTTATCCACACTGAACATCAGTTAGGGAAACATGACAACCTTTAAGTGACCGGTAGAATCAGAGTGTCACCTGTCCAGGACCATAACTACACTCTCAATTGATCATCACTTTATTTCATCACTTCGTACAAAAGTTGTAAAGTTTCAGCAATTACATAAAAAAGGGAAGTGAGTGAAATTTTTTTTAAACAATTATACAGATTCCTAGATAAGCACAAGGAGAGTGGCATTATCCCTCCCATCCATCTGTTGATGTAAAACCCGAATATGATATATATCAGTATAAAATTTGTGATGCAACTCATTTATCACCTACTATCACCTGAAGACTAATACAGTGAAAGTGTTTGTGCAAAATGTAATGTCTTCTTTCTTCAATCATCAATTAAATTTCAGTATAAGTTGATATAGACTTAAATATATCACACATCAGATTATCTACTTTTAAGTTCATAGTTTCAAACTTATAATAAATTTGATGGATCATGTGACCTTTAAAAAATACTGGTTGTATTTTTACATATTAAATCAAGTAATATATATTAATGTCATAGTGACTTACAGTCTAATGGCAGGCAGAAGATTCTGGTTTCTACCACTTGTTGTTTCTAAAATGTGTTTGTTGAGAATAAGGAAAAACTATTCAAGGTAAACATAAAATGTTGTAACACCAGGGTTCTTCAAACTTGAAACAGTGAACAGCAACATTTAATATCCAAGAGAAATTATTTCAAAATATGTAATGTTTATATTGAAAGGTTTTATTCTTGATATAGCAATGGGAGGATTATCTTATACATACATGTAGTACTTATTGGTTCCTTTGACGGGCCCTGGCCTGTAATAGTGTCTCAATTAACCGATCTATACAGTATTTATACATGTATTTGTTGGCCGATTCTGATGTAATTATCAACAAACATCATAATGTTGTACTTTGTTTTGTATAATGAACAAACAGAAGCAGAAAGTGAAACTTTTAAAAAATGTATTAACGTTTGTGTATCCTCTCACGTCAATACTACATCAGTAAAAATCATGTATTTTCTGGCATATAAATAATGTTAATATCCATTCTAATCAAAATCTATAAAGTCTGAATTTTTTGTTAACATATTTGTTGAATTGAATCTGAGTCAGAAAATCAGAGTCAGGCTCCTAGTAAAAATCGGAACTTATTTCTCACAAGTACATGTAACTCTGTGTAATCTTGTGAGAATCATTATGAGCTTGTGTGTTTGTGTGGTCAGCCCTTAACATCAGTTCTCACTGAAGTTTGACAAGCTGGGGGCATTTTACACCCTCTGTTCTTAGTAAAAGTTAAAATCATGTAGACATGAAATATTGAATCCCCACCGAAAAGGGGAGATGATATGAACTTGATAAAGAGTGAAAATTGTATTAATGTATACAATTTTGTTAATTTAGGTTAACATACTTGAAATCTTTGACGGGAAAATAGAAGGCTGTATGGTATGCATGATGCAAAAGAGAGGTACAATTGACTTCAGCATACACCATACAGTATTTTATGACCAGAACAACTATAAACTTTGGTTATTTTACAACAATCATGAATTAAGCTATAAATTTACAGCTACCACTCTTGTTGTCCTTGACTGAAGTGTGGAGAAGATTTTACTGTGAAAGGAAGTCGGAGGTAACACTGGGTGAGAGGCTTGTGTGTTACTACTGAACCATCTGACCATCCAATTAATAGAATCACATGCTATAATTTCTGTTTTATTTATTTATATATTTATTTATTTATTTACTATTTATTTATTTATTTACTATTTATTTATTTATTTATTTATTTATTTACTATTTATTTATTTATTTATTTATCTTAAAGGCTTAAGTTTCTGTTGATATCTTTACTTTAAATAATTACACAAATCATAGGCACATGAACATGTGTAAGGTTCTTATAACACCCATCCCTTAGATTACTGTCTTTCATCAAGAAGATAAGTAAAACTGTACATTAACAGGACTATAAGCAGTATGACAGTCAGTCACTGTAGTATGGTGATCCTAAAGGATACAATCTTGATGGATGTTGTAGGGACTCTGCTGGAATGGTGATGTCATCAAAGAAACCCATTGTCACTGTAATAAACAAAAACATTGAATACACTGGTGTGTGTTTAACATCAGCTACACTGGTGTGTATCACTGCTATTCATTATCCTGTTTATCCAATAACAAGTCCTCAACTGGTGAGTCTAGCTACATCTTGCTTTAAGTAGAAATACTAACAAATGCTATTTTATTGTATCATATCAAGCCCTTCTCCTAACTTTGAATTATAGAATCTATATTTTGGCTTGCTGGGCTTATTGCTAGACAAAAACAGTGTTTTTCCCCATTCATTATCAAAAGTCAACTTTCTACATCAGCAATATATAATGTAAATCCATTTCCATATTTTAAGACAAACTGCTCTTTTTTCTTGGGGGTAAGATTGTGAATTGTTTACTTGTTCTAAAAAATGTTTTTATTCTAATTATTGGTCTTCCATGTTTATTGTTACCTTGATTTTTAAGATAAATTTTCTTATCACCACTACAACCTTTAACATGACTTAAATCATCAATCATTTTGTCAAAATAAATATTATGTAAATATAATTTCCTCATCCTTTCAAATCTTACCTTGAACACTTTCTTTGCAACAACTTTTTATTTTGCCGATGAGAATCTCGTCAACGAATGGCCTAAATACCACAAAGTGGAAATGTACTGAAATAAAAGGTATAGTGTTACAAGGGAGATAATTCTTATCATTTTGTTTCATCACATGTGCAGAAGCATCAATGACCCATGAAATAATTCGGAAATAAGTCTCAACATTTTTTATTGTGCTTAATCTTTATTTTAAGTATGTTTGTGCATTTAGAAATGTTAAGGCATGAAGTCTTTTTCAATGTTAATATCATTTACTGTAATATTATCTACTCAAATTGAGACACCATTTTCTGAAATCTAAATCACATGATTGCTCTGCTTTCCAGGGATGGCAAACATCTTGTTTGTGTGAGTGAAGTGATGTATGGCACATTAGAGTATGTGGAACAAAAAGTTATAAATACATTCTAGACTGTTTTCTATCAGGATGTTTAAAGTAAATAAAAATCAATGTATCTCACCAACAGTATGTGAAGCACCATCCCCAGGGAATATAAAGCTTTCATCTAGTTTGATAATATCCCAGAGAGTGACACACAAGCCAACATTGTGGACAACCTGTAAATAAAACGATAATATCCCAGAGAGTGACACACAAGCCAACATTGTGGACAACCTGTAAATAAAACGATAATATCCCAGAGAGTGACACACAAGCCAACATTGTGGACAACCTGTAAATAAAACAATAATATCCCAGAGAGTGACACACAACCCAAAATTGTGGACAAGGTGTAAATAAGATGATAATATCCCAGAGAGTGACACAGAACCCAACATTGTGGACAACCTGTAAATAAAACGATAATATCCCAGAGAGTGACACACAACCCAAAATTGTGGACGTGTAAATAAAATGATAATATCCCAGAGTGTGACACAGAACCCAACATTGTGGACAACCTGTAAATAAAACGATAATATCCCAGAGTGTGACACAGAAGCCAACATTGTGGACAACCTGTAAATAAAACGATAATATCCCAGAGAGATACACACAACCCAAAATTGTGGACAATGTGTAAATAAAACGATAATATCCCAGAGAGTGACACAGAAGCCAACATTGTGGACAACCTGTAAATAAAACGATGATATCCCAGAGTGTGACACAGAACCCAACATTGTGGACTACCTGTAAATAAAACGATAATATCCCAGAGTGTGACACAGAAGCCAACATTGTGGACAACCTGTAAATAAAACAACAAAACTCTCCTCCAATCAAATTAAACAACAATTACAGTGTAACTGAAAGTAATGATAAGAGTTTGTGTTCTCTTAATGATTCAACATCTGTAAAATAAACTGTTTATTCAGCTTCCATGTATATATCCTGCATGTGTAGTAACAGGAGGGGAAGGACACAGGATCAGCAGTTATAATACATTTGTCTGTTAATCATAGAATTTGCCAAAGTAACTTCTATCTTTAAATGCTTTGATTATATATGCTTAGATTTTACATATATTGTTCCTGTAGCAATGAAATAACCTTCCACACATATTAAGCATTTATCTTAATGGTTATGATAATTCCTGACATTGCCATCTCTAATCAACATAACATTTTATGACCAAGAGGAAATCAATTTCATTTCTTAGCGGTACCAAACACAAAGGAAATAATATCATCAAGGCATCCTTGTTTTGTAGTAAATCTTTAGATCCAATTTCAAAAAGATTGTATATAATGCCCAGTATCTTAATGAAACTATTTGGCCAGCTTCACTATTATTGCCTTTTTACATTATATGCAGGTTTATACAACTCCACAAAGCCATTTAATACCAGCATGATTCACCCTTGTGCAGTATACACACCTTGTTTGCAAATTTTTTGTTGAGAGTTTCTACTACCGCATCATTGAAGTTTATGTGAAAAAGCCAAGGAGGAATCCTCACAGTATCTTTCATCTCAACCAAAACAAACATTCTCTTTCACTTGGTAGAGATTGGTCAATCTGAGAATAAGAATAAAAAAATAGAAGATAAATAATACAAGTATGATAAAGCAGAGATTAACAAAACTTTTAATATCTAACACTGAACTCTAGTACATTTATGCTTATATAATAATGTTTATGTGATATTTAAACTGTCACTCAGTTTGTTCCTGGGAACACTCAAATTTATAACCATGATCTTACATTGGCACTATTTTATTCCCATCCAATGGACTACAATGTAGATTGTAGTGGTGTTTAGTTGAATGCCAATTTAGTTTCCAGCATGTAGCTGGTGCTCTTTTCTGCTGATCCTTGGTTTCATGATAGTATGCTGTAGAGACCTTGAATGTATCACTCAAGTATGAAAATGCAGAGTTCAATAAAAATTACATTACTGTGGTAAAAACTTATTAGCTATTGAAACAGCTATGAAAATGACCATGGATATATCACTGAGGTCTTTTTAGCAAACAAAACAGCTACAGTATTACTGTAGTAAACATTATTAGCCATTGAAAGTGCAATAAAAAACATTTTTTAAATAAGTTATTGATGGACAGAAGAATGTAGCAAATTGAACTGCAATGAACACATGCACCTATATACAGTAGTAAAGAGCAGCTACTTAAATGGACTCTTATAAGAAGAGTAATAAACATATACGTTATCCAAACAGAAAAGTCCCTCAAATTACCCGACTATCAGCATAAGCACCATATATGTATATTCATCTATCCATGTCTGTCGATGAAATAGCGTGCAATCTTTCCTGCTTTCTCTTTACAAACCGGAAGTGAAATCTCAATGAAGAAGACGCTTGAAATATTAATAGTGTATGTTTTTGTTCCACAATTATACATTAATTGATAAACAGTAACATAATATTCTCTATTCGAATATATTTTTCTTGACTGTCGTTTAATAATAAAGTAATATCCTCTCATTCTAAACACGTTTTGCCTGTTACCTATTTGTATATCCGGTTTGATCAAAATCAATAGTATGTTTGTGTTGACCCGCCATGTATGGATTCTACTTTCTGTTCGCCTTGGTGATTTATTTCCTTGAGATAGACGATGGTGGATGGTAAGATATATATCCTGTGCGATTGAATCGAAAACTAATACTTTTCAAACTTTTAGCGAATGTAACTCCAGAAATAGTCATGTTGATGGTATATATAGCCAGATAATGTAACCACGCCTGTCCACGTGTACACATACAATCACTTGTCGCTTTGAATATAATGTGTTATGTGTTCCTTTTCATGTTGAGTGTATATAGTAATTTATACTTAACAACACGTGGCCTTGGTAAAACGTATACAAACGGCCTTATAAATATGATAAGGCTAACATTTTTGTATATCATGTACAAACCAAACCAAAACAGATTACAAATGTATTATATATAAGTTTAGGTCCATATATTATACCACTCCCACGTGGTCTATTCAGATTTCCATAACCAGTTTCAAAAAGAAACTTAGGGACACCAATGTAGCCCATTAATGTACAACCTTCTAATTATGTTTCTTTTAAATTCTTATTATTGTACCCTCCTTTTAATATTCTAATTCTTTATACTTATTAGCCTTTTCACACTGTTGTAGAAACATTAGTTTTGATTGATACAATTTGCACATAAATGCAGATGTAAAAACAATAATGTACAGTATACTTATTTGAAAGGGTGTTAGTTATTGATAGTCAAGATTCCTTCTTTTGTAATGAAGCCAAGTTTTAGCAACTGGTTCATATAGAAAACAATCAGTATGCATCCTTGGTCTGGGTATCTTTTTGTTAAATACCCACTGTTTTTGATAAAACTGGTTAATCATGATGTGTGAGATTCAGACCACTTTTCCCTAGGACATGGGTTTAAGGTGGCAGCAGGGGATGATGTCTGTTCCATTAGTTGTCTCCTCACCGATGGTATATTGATTTGGTGGAGTTTTCTCCAACACTCAAATCAACATTTGATCCTGAAGCAGCATCGCAATAAAAGCTCTGCAGAGCTAATATTGATTATTGACCTTCATTTGTTCATATATCCACTATGTAGACAACTTGTAGGGAATGTAGTCATAAGATTTCCAAAATCTAGATAATTATACACCAGCTTGTATACCTGGTCACAGCACTACAACATCCATAATCAATTTAATCTATAAATGTATCACGAAAAAGAATCCCATTCGAATATCAACAATTAATTTGTAGTCTACAGTGATTTAATATCAGGGTGGTTTGGTGGCATAATAGTAAGACACTTATTTGCCTTATACCTAGACCACTAGGCTTCAATGTGTAAAGGTATGCTGACTGCATGGTTTTTTGCTGGGTACACTGGTTTCCTTCCAATGTAAGAGTGATAAATATGAGCCAAATTTTTTTTTCTTTCTCATTTGTTGTTAAATAGATAAAGTTTATTTATATAAAGATTAGATGTACTGTTACAGGTCAACAGATAAGAATTCTATGATAGCTATGCCTGGGCCATGTACAATAGATGTAAGAGATGACAGCATCACACAGAAAGAATTCCTCCAAAGGTTGGTCTGATTGAGATTTAATTGCCTGCCATTTTCTCCCATGTCATTTATTGGGACGGGGAGCTAATCATATTTATCTCACAATATGCCCATGCCTGATAATTTAGCCCATCCAGATAGCATTAAAATCATAAGCCTAATGCCTCTTCATTGTTCAGAAACATGTTCATTATCTGACATCAAGTAAGAAGTAAAATGTTGTCACTATTGCAGGATAATTTGATATATATGTAGATTAAGTGTTAACCCCTGGTAGTTACATCTCAATGGCACCATAGCCTTTTCCATTCTGAGTCAATGTTATCACTTTAGCATTACACTTAAAACAGTCATGTTAACTTATCAATGCATTGTATGACTCCTAATGAGTTCATGTTTCATCTTTATTTCAGATATGCATTTTCAAAACCTTTAGTCATCAGAAGAAGAGGAAACAAAAATTATGTAAGTATCAATGACATGATATGATAGGTCTGTTGAAGAATTTGAGATTTTCTTTTCTTTTCAAAATTCTTAAGTTACATTTAGAAGATGCATTCAGAATAGTGTTTTGGTACATACATAATTATGTAACACTATCTTCATATATCTATCTAAGAGTAAGTTTTATTTTCCATTCCTCTTTTCCAGAATTTTTTAAAATCTTGTCGTAAGAAGAAAATGCTTGAAAAGTATGGATCAAAGAAAATACGTTTAAGTTCTGCAAATACTCACTCGTATGAAAAAGGTAAGTTTGATCATTTTCACGTTAGTCCCAAAAAATGTGTGAACAAAATCTTGACATCAAATGTAGTATGACAAATTTTTATCCATTAGCGTAAAACTGACAGATTCCAACAAAGAATCAATTTCAAACTGAAATCTCAAGATGCGAAGTTATTATTATTAAATTATATATAAAACGATTGCAGTGTGTTTGACAATGACCTGTTTTGTATGATACATGTAATATCAATGTATGTCATGGATGATATCTTGAATTTTTCAGTTGATGTATCCTTACAGTATTATATAGACAATGTATTGAAACCTCAAACACTACAGATGTTAGGCAATGGTAAGTATAGGTATTACACTATATATAGGTCCGAGTCTAAGAACAAGACAGCCTATGTTTGTTATAGTTTGGCAGAAATGCCAATAATTGCTTCAAATCCAGTTGTCATTGACTAATCTGACAATAAATTATAGGTTATGTGTTGGTTTCAAATATATCATATAAGGTATTTGACATTTAGTTTTATGTTTCAGAAATAAATGTATAAAACAGTTCTTCAAATGGTAGAAAAAAATATGCGTTATTCCCTGAAGGTTTTAATAACATTTTCTTAGAAATTTAAAAGACAGTATTGGGATTAAGTGAGAAGAGTTCCATCTTTCCATGAATTATACCTTTACAAACAAACAAACCAGCAAGCAAGCACATACACACACATCCTTACACACACTCACACACTCACACACGCACGCACGCACACACGAAAATATCGATCACATATATATAGTCCGTTTTGACTTACATTAGGCTAGTAATTATATGTGTACATTTTACAGAAACATTTTACTGGTTTGGTGATAATAACTACACAGAGTGGAAGGATTTGTTTGAACAATACTCAGCACCTCCGTACCACCTACCTGATAAGACGGGAATATACAGCTTCGGGCTCGCAGGTCAGTGAAGATACTTGAAAAACTTGAAAAGTCTTTTCATTATTTTCATCAAAGGAAAATAATACATGTATTTGGTATTTTTTGATGACACTAAAAGAGTTTGGTATATAGAATGACACCTATCAATCTTGTCCTGTTGAATTTAGAATCAGTATCTTATCTTGAGAACTGCTCATTAGCTTTGGTACATATCTAACGCATATCTTAACATCAAGTTTTACACCTTATCATATTAAGGTGGTACAAATTCACCAAACAAGGATATTTATACATTAGAAAGCCAGCACATGTCTTAAACATTTTCCTGCTCAGGATGAAGTTTTTTAGCCATTGAACTATCTTGAATATTGGTATGACATTTGAAGTTTATCTGCATATTGCAGCTTTATAGTGTTATATGATCTGTCTATCTGATAAGCTGTGCCATTTATACTTTCATTAGGTATATTTCCTTAAGATTTACTTTTAAAGAAAATATTTGATACTGAAAATTTGACAGGTCTGATATTGCTGTCATCATGGTCCAAGGATACTGAATTTGACTGGTCTGATATTGCTGTCTTAGTTCAATGGTGTTATAATGATATTTACATTATTTACTGTAGCCTTGTAGATGTAAATAATAGACAGTGATTTGAATATTACTTAGGAAATGCTGTTTTAAAATTTCAATATGTTACTTATATCCACAGTATAGGCATGACTGCATTTGTTTATATTAATTGACAGGTGCAGGAACTGGTGTACCATTCCATTTCCATGGCCCTGGGTTTGGTGAGGTGATTTATGGTAGAAAGGTATTGTAATTGAAACCTGATGGAGGCTCTTTTATCATTCAATAGGAACAGCCGTACATGTACATTAAACTGTGTTGAACTACCTTTACTACTCAGTGGTTTAGATACCAATTATTGTGTCGCCTGCAGAGCTGGTAGACACTTAGGGATCACTTTGTCCATCGTCACACGTCGACGGCGTCCGTATGAAAGTTTTCCAGACTTTTTTCGGTTATGCTTAGAAGGGTACAGATAAAGTTTGATTCCTGGCTGTCTGTATCCCTTCTTGGCAGAGTAGTGCCCCTTTGAACTTAGAAAATTCTCTGGGAATATTGTTTTCTGGACTTTTTCATGTTATCATTTGAGTTATTGAAATGAAATTTGATGTATGGCTTCATTTTGGAAGGGTACAGATTAGTTTTGACATCCAGTTCGATTTCTTGGTGACCATGACACATTATGCAGACGACACATACAGTTCCAAGGAACTCTTGTATAGTTATGTACAAACTGATTTAGATACTGATAATATGAAGTTTTACAGTATGTCTTAGATAATATACTGTAGTAAGTACTGATGATTTCAGCTTATGTATTATGTACTAGACTGTTTACACAGTATTGTTTATCTATTAGGTAATGTATGGGTATTTATATTCCAGCGTTGGTTCTTGACACCACCAGAAGAAAAGCCAAAATTTCACCCTAACAGAACAACATTACAGTGGCTGATAGAAGATCTACCAAAACTCAGCCCTGAAGATCATCCGTTGGAATGTACTATTGGTCCAGGGGAGGCATGTACATCTTTGATTTTTACCCCAAATACTGTTTTACAAAACAAAATCTCTTGCATAAGAAAAATCCAATAAATCTTTATGTATCAATTAAATTTTGCTCTCAGAATTATTCTACACATTTACTAGTCGAGAAATAAATGTTTTACGTATTACAAAGGTACTCTCTGCATAGATATACATTATGTTTAAACCAGTTGTTAAAAGCTGGATTGTAATTTTGAACTACTTGTATTGTAGATCATCTACTTCCCCGACAGATGGTGGCATGGGACCTTGAATATTGACACCAGTGTTTTTATCAGCACATTCCTGGGTTAACATACAGATTCAAATTTTTTTTTTACAATTGTTTTACATCCTTATTTTAATTTAAAAAATAAATATTGTCCTGTTTTTGTGCTTTCATAGAGATGCTACTGTTCTTTTAAATTTTATTTGTTTTCTCCAACGCTAAGGACTGCCTCGGAGAATCTAACCTGGAAACTATATGGACCATAATTGTATACAACATTCCATTATGTGCTTACAATATGCCATTGTCTGGCTGACTGGATGTTGATAATTTTTTGTGTAAAAGTGGTCACCAATTTACTCTCACACATACACTGCCCATCCAAAAAAAACCTGTGATATATATTGACTTGTTTGTATATGAACTAGTGCGACTTATTTTGCCTCCTTGAAGTAAGATGCAGGGTTCCCCCCCACCCCCTCCCCCTGGAAAAAAACAAAAAACGTTTTATAAAATTTGTTCAACATGATCACTCTGAGTACAAATGAGTATCTGGATGAGAGTCTGAATGTGTGTTTATGTTTTGTTATGTCTTTATATGATAATGAAAATTTGAAAAAATAGAAAATTACAATAAAAGTGCAAAGTATTTGTCTGAAAAAGTGTTGAGGGAATTATGAATAGCAGTGTATAGGTATCAATGAAATACAAGTGTCATTAAATGTGGGCCTTTATTGTGACCAGTGATATACATGTGCAATGTACAGGCTAATATTCTTTGTTCAACTTGGTCACCAAATCTTTCTGTGGAGATAAAATTCGACTCTTTTCTCACCAAAAGTCACCTAACTTGCTCAACATGTACCCTCAACTTGGGTTACACAATTCCTGTTTATTTCAGCAGCTTTTGCATTTTATCTATAATTACTGAACTTGCTGCACAAATGTATCACAAAAAAGAGGACATATCAGATACTAGAATTGGGTCAAGGACTCCTCTACAGCAGAACCTACTCATGGACATTAGTTTAATTTCTGCAGCTTAACTTTCTAGCGACAACAAATTTATTTACTTGGTAAATATATTCCACGCACATGTCACTTAGGATTACAATATCGCATGCTTCAGTTAAGATTTGTTTCTTCATAATTTATGGTTCTTAAAAGAAATTTCAGTTGTATAACCTAACCTGTGCTCCTTTTACATACCATACCTAAAGATATTTAACATAGGTCATGCACTCCTCTGTGCAGAGTTGAGGCTCCGTGCTCATATCTGAAGCATGCAATTAATTAGAAATTATCCTTAAATGGATAGTGTAAGTGTAGGAAGGGTCTTGTACTCAATTAAAAAAAGATATTAGCACAGACAACTGAAACAAATGAATTTGGGTATTCTATCTAAACACAAGGTTTTAACCTTATTCTAAATAAAGACAAATAAAACAGTAATCAATCATATTTTTATTTGACATCTGTCTAATATAAAATTTGAACAAGTACTATATCTGGTTAATTATAAAATGAAAAATTCATTGATTCTGTATACCTATTATCATAAACACCTCGCAATGAAATTGCAAAAAAAAAACCAAAAAAAAAAATAAAAAAATAAAACAAAAAAACAAAAAAACTCTGATTGTATTGCAGGAAGATCTTCAGGCAATCTGAACATTTATCAGAACAACATATCATTGTAAAATAAGCACCTGTTTAATTAACAAATAAATTTGTAAATCTCTAATGTGAGGTACAGCCTTCAATTGATTCCCAAATAGCTTACACTGCACTGCTATTTATAGCTACTTTTACACTAGTTATTCTAGTCAATATCTACTAAAGGAGGGGTTGGGGTTCATCTTAATTGTCTAGTCAATGTATGAATGGCGAGGTTAACTAAGTAGTCTCGTCAATATCTACTGGATAGGGGAGATTAATTAATTAGTGTTGTCAATATCTACTCAATGGGGAGCTTAACCAAGTAGTCTTGTCAATATCTACTGGATAGGGGAGGTTAATTAATTAGTGTTGTCAATAACTACGAAATGGGGAGGTTAACCAAGAAGTCTTGTCAATATCTACTGGACAGGGGAGGTTAATTAATTAGTGTTGTCAATAACTGCGAAATGGGGAGGTTAACCAATTAGTCTAGTCAATATCTACTGGATAGGGGAGGTTAATTAATTAGTGTTGTCAATAACTACAAAATGGGGAGGTTAACCAATTAGTCTAGTCAATATCTACAAAATGGGGAGCTTAACCAAGTAGTCTTGTCAATATCTACTGGATAGGGGAGGTTAACCAATAAGTCTGGTCAATATCTACTAAATTGGGAGCTTAACCAAGTAGTCTTGTCAATATCTACTGGATCAGGCAGGCTAATTAATTAGTGTTGTCAATAACTACAGAATAGGAAGTTAACCAAGTAGTCTTGTCAACATCTACTGGATCAGGGAGGTTAACTAATTAGTCTAGGCAATATCTACTGAATGGGACATTCATTTATTAGTCAATATCTTGGGAATTGGGAGATTCAACAATTAGTCAAGTCAATATCTACTAAATGAGGAGGTTAACCAATTAGTGTTGTCAATATCTACTGAATTGGGAGCTTAACCAATTAGTGTTGTCAATATCTACTAAATTTGGAGCTTAACCAAGTAGTCTTGTCAATATCTTCTGAATGGGGCGGTTTAACCAATAAATATGATGTTTCAGAGTCTTGAATTCTGGGCCCCCTTTATTGAATTGAGAAGTAGACAACAAACGTCCTCATTGAAATTGTGCAAGTTCCCTTTCTGTTCATATACTATAGGTCACAATTATATGTTAAAGGTGAAATGAAAAAAAACATATTTTAGATAACTCTTGCCTAGCATGTGTATTGATTGAATATCTGATGGAAGCTTTTCAACATTATAAACAATTTTCTTTACTGACAATATGCTATTTAATTTCTATGACAGGATAATAATACAACACCTTTATCTACGTTTAGTTTTACACACTCTCTCACACCACATACTTAATGCACATTAACCACTTTTATCTTTATATACATATGATAACATTCACTGATAATTATACACTAAATAACATACAACATATTGTTAATACACTGTTTTGACATTTGATACCAACGAGAATGTAGTGTTAAGACTGCGAGATTTCAACATGCATATATAGGTACACAAGTTATAACACATTTTATTCAGTAGAGTATTCACGGGTAAATAACATAGCTACTATGATTTGATTACTTGTATGAAACATTTCCTTTGTGAGGATAAATAGAAAATTATACCATTCCATTAAAATATGACTGATAGATTTCTCAGGAAACAAAAGACCACAATGGTAAAGCTAAATCTTTTGGTATTTTTTTCTCAATAAAATTTGACTTCAATTTTATCGTTTAAGGATTGTATATAAATATTGTATGTTCATTTCATGATGAAAAATTCTCAAGCAAATTATGTTTCTTTAGCATTTTATGAAGTACTGTAAAACTTTTCAATAACTTGTCATGTTGCTACATAGATTTGCTTAAAATCTAGTGAATAAGTATTCCCAGCAAACAAATTTCCATTTAAAGAATAATTGGTTAGAACAGTTTATCAGTTGTTGGAACATAATTCAGGTACATATGGTATAAAGTAAAACAAGAGGTCCATGGGGCCTGTATCACTCACCTGGTTTAGTTTGCTGAAAATGATTAACTTAAACTAAAAGAAAAATATTTAAAACAAGCCCCCAAGGATGCTTCAGACCAAATTGGGTTAAAATCTTTGCAGTCGTTGATGACTTATAGCAATATATAGGAAAAGTTGACAGATGTCCAAGGACGACAGAGCTAAGTTCTCATTTTATTGGTCAAGCATAGCATGTTGAACATTGGCACTTGTTGTTTGTTATATCAAGATGTTGACTTTGGAAGGCATTAAGACCAAAAGAAGACCAACCGCAGAAATTAACAACACTAACAAATACATTTCACATGACCATAAGCTACAAGTGTGTACAACTATTTGCACTTGAGTAAAATTAATTTCACTTTCATATAAAAATCATGTGCCTGATGAATGTTTTGACAAATTAAAGACATTTGAAACTTCCTTCGTGATGTAAACCAAGTAAGTATTTCATATACATTAAATGTAGCAGGCAGTGATCGATAGCAGGCTTGCTGGCCTACATACATTTTGTAGTTATGAGAACATCAACACAACATACTTGCAGATTAATATTTGTAATTATTCCTAATTCTTTATGATTAATGAATTAATTTTTTTATAAATAAAATACACATTCTGTTATACAATTTCCTTGTTTTTTTCTTATTCTTCATTAGTTGACACACAAATGCACAATGTTATACATGTATATAGTAGTTTTGACAATGAATTCTTAATTCATGGTCTTTCATTATAACTTAGAACTGATATAAACATAGTATTTTCTTTGGTCCCCAGAACTTAATTGTAACCGAGTTTTACAGAGTATGTCGTACATCTTACCCATAACATGACACCCACAGAATTAATGCCACCTGACATCATTAAACACTTCAACACAAACATTCGAAACAGACTTAATGACAATATATTAAATGTATAACATGTTAAACTTAACAGTATTTAATGGCACAGACACTGCCACACCAATTGTGCATCAGTAACTATGGTAACACATAAACAGCATAGGCAGGATTTAGATTAAAGCACAAAGCATCACTTTCTGACAGGAAAACAAGAGGATGAAATTTGGTATTGACTTCCTCATGTTTTACACTGAAACAAGATGACACTTTGTCATCATCAATAACTTTATAATAACAGACTTTAACAGTATGAAGTAAAACTCTGGATATAATGATAAAAACAAATCAATGAAAATGTCACCTGTGTTTCAGGAATTATAGTAGCATAATGTGAAACTTCATCTCTACAAAATATAACTGGAATTTAAAATAGAAATATTAAAGGCAAATTCATAAAAATTTTGCTTGAACAAAGCATTGAATGTCATGTATGTGTATATCAAAGTGTCATATCTATATTTCAAATAGTTATTTGATCTTTATTCAAAATTTTTTTTGTCATATGAAAATCCTTCAACACATTGCTATACTGTGGTTTTCAGGGAGTCATGACCTGATTTAAACAACAAAGTATGGTAAATTATTGTACTTAATATGAAACAATATTTTCTGTGGTTGGCTTTTTGTGACCACACAGTGTTTGTAAGCTGGCTGTTTATTGGTTGATGTCGTTGGGACTGGTTTGTTTGGGTGGGTTTATCCTACACATGGCCTGACAGATGGCTATGAGAGACAGTGTAAACACAATGATGTAGGGAACACGGAATAATGACACAGTGCCATACAACAGCATTACCACAGCTCCACCATAGATAAGGAAGTACCACATTCTGTAGTTTATTCTGCAAGATAAAACAGAGTAAATTATGACCGACTCAAAATACCATCAAATAGTGGCAGGTTATTATGAAACAAAACTGCCATGAAGTAAAATATTTTTTTAAAAGTAGAATTTCTAAACATTTAAAAATGAGTTACTAGTGCATGTTTCTACATCATCTATCTATCCTTCTGCTGCCTTACCTTTGTGGGAAAGGGTTGCCTAGGAGGACTGTTCCGGTTGTCTTACCTTTGAGGGAGAGGGTTATCCAGAAGGAGGACTGTTCCTGTTGTCTTACCTTTGAGGGAGAAGATTGTCCTGAAGGAGGACTGTTCCTGTTGTCTTACCTTTGAGGGAGAAGGTTGTCCTCAAGGAGGACTGTTCCTGTTGTCTTACAGTTTAGGGAGAAGGTTGTCCAGAAGGAGGACTGTTCCTGTTGTCTTCCTTTTGAGGGAGAAGGTTGTCCAGAAGGGGAACTGTACCTGCTGTCTTACCTTTGAGGGAGAAGGTTGTCCGGAAGGGGAACTATACCTGCTGTCTTACCTTTGAGGGAGAAGGTTGTCCAGAAGGGGAACTGTACCTGCTGTCTTACCTTTGAGGGAGAAGGTTGTCCGGAAGGGGAACTATACCTGCTGTCTTACCTTTGAGGGAGAAAGTTGCCTTGAAGGGGAACTGTTCCTGTTGTCTTACCTTTGAGGGAGAAGGTTGCCTAGAAGGGGAACTGTTCCTGTTGTCTTACCTTTGAGGGAGAAGGTTGTCCAGAAGGAGGACTGTTCCTGTTGTCTTCCTTTGTCAGAGAGGGTTGTCCAGAAGGAGGACTGTTCCTGTTGTCTTACCTTTGAGGGAAAGAGTGCCTAGAAGGAGGACTGTTCCTGTTGTCTTACCTTTGAGGGAAAGAGTGCCTAGAAGGAGGATTGTTCCTTTTGTCTTACCTTTGAGGGAGAGGGTTGTCTAGAAGTATTATTGTTCCTACTGCTATAACCCCCAATGTGGCTGGAACAAGGTTAGGATCACCATAGAGTAGTACGGAATATCTGTAAATTAATCAACCAGGATTTGTTTTACTATATTTCCAGTATGAGGTTTGGATAAAGTAAAAAGAATTACACCAATTTTCTACCTTATTCAATGGTGGAGTTTAAATGAATACAGTAATCACTATATGCACCTTTATTTCATAATAGTACAGTAAAGTCACTTACTTGGTATTTTTGGCCCAGGTGATTAAGACCGGTACACTAATGACAAGAATCCAAAGCCACAACAGGTATACAGAGAAGTAGAAGTGGAATCTGCTCAATTCCCCAACTGACCCTCGAGACTGGTATTTTAATGTCAGTAGCTGTACAGATGATAGTATTAAGTTATAACGACCCTCAAGACTAGTATTTTAATGTCAGAAGCTGTACAGATGATAGCATTTATTTATCATATAACACAGTAATGCTATTGGTGTTTAAAACCTTTGAAAATATCAAAATATCTGCTGCAGGAACAGAATTTTCAAAATCATGTTACATCATTTTTATGTCGCTAAGAAAACTTTTAACATATACAGCTGAATCTGTGAGGTAGCTCCATATATGCCAATTATTGTCATATTGAATACAGAAATACATTTCTAGGAAATCCTCCTTCTGTGTTGTTTATAACACACTTAACATAGGAAACAGCAACTATCTCCATTAATGTCTAATTTGTTTTAAAATACTTACTTTAATAAAAATAACAAAATAAATTATAAGGATTCCAAGAGAACTACAGATGACGGCTGAATTTACTATAGCAAAGCCCACCAGGAATATCTCCACATTTCTCCATAAAGACTCCATATTTCCCAATAATCTGAAAGTTCAAATCAAATAAATTAAATGAAGTTTGTGTGATAAGACATCTTTACCATGAGGTCCCCAATTTATTTGACATGTTTTACTAGTGTCCATGTTTGTAAGGAAAATATATACTCAATGTTTGTAGGAGTTTGTTGTATACATGAAGTTCTTTCACAGCAATGAAAATTAGGATATAAAGTCTTTATTGAATAATATCATGTAATATTTAAGTAATCTGTCCACCCAATGATGTTTTTATCTGTATATACCAGTAAATATATCCCATGACCAGCAGGAAACACTAAGGTACTGGTATCTCATTTTAAGAGGTCAAAACTACACACCTGGTAAAGAGAACACCTGCCACAGTGCTAACAACAGCTAACACCTTTGTGATGACAAAGCACTGGAAATTAACTAGGCCAACAGAAATGAAGAACAGCAATATCGGCAGGAAACGTAGGTTTATTCCCTGGTTATTGAGAAACAGAATGTCCAACTCTGGTAGTCTGACCACTCGACTGGCTTCTTGTATACTTGGGTGCCTATAATACAAGGGAGATGACTCTTACTGTCATGATGCCATACATTTATCACATCAAAATTTCAAATCAAACACAGATAGACTAAATATATTAAGAAATAATGTATTGTATTACTGACTGGACTATATAAAGACAAGAGGCTTAAGGGCCTTTACTGTCACCTGAATTACGATGCTGTTCTTATAACATATAGAAATAATCTTGTCAACCAAGTAAGATAACCAGAACTACACTGAATGTGTAATTCAAACAAAAACTGTACATCACATTATCTGCCATCTCCTGCTAAAGTGTCTATACATGTTTGAATTGAAAGAAATTACAGTTCAAAATGTATTTTTTCCATATGAACTCTTCCATACATGAAGAGTGTTTAGTAGATTTTATCATATCAGGATCTTTGTTTGAGTCAATATGACCACTTTTGGCTCTGTCCATCGACCTCGAGGTCATCCATGATCAATATGTGAATATCACTGAATTCTTATCCTATGCTAACAATTCTTAACAAGTTTGAACTATTCCCAATCAAAAACAAACAAATTATGCTCAAAAATTTAATTTTCCAACATAAACTATAGTAAATTTTACTCCTTCCAGAGGGGGAAATGTGAAACCCTGAAGTCATGAAATTGACAATTTTGGTAAAGCTCCTTAAGACCTTTCTATTCATGCAGAATATTTAATTCTACCATAAATAGGTATTGAGAAGATTTTTGAAATTTCAATTAATTGGCCCCACCCTTCATGCCCCTGGCATGTTGGAACTATCTAATTTACAATTTTGCTTCATCTTTGGCTGAAGAAGGTTTCAGCTAAATGTCAATGAAATTGGTTCTGAGATTTCGAGAAGCACTGAAAAGTGTTTAGAGTTTATGATGCATGTTGAATGACTCACAATATACAGTAGTAGACAAAAGGCAACAACAGAAAGTCAATAAGTCATAATGATACTGGCATTTTTTTTAAACATTAAACTTTTGTTGTACTATTGATATAAATTAATCATCGTGTGAAACAGATATTGCCCACACTGATTCTTGCTGTAACAATTTCTGTTACTCAGTATATACTGATGGAGTAGGACACACTGTACTTACTGAAGAAGTCCCAGACACAACATCACTACTGGGATCAGTTTGAATGGCTGGGCATTGGCTGCAATGGCGTCCAGAATACTTGGACAACTACCATCTGTAACATATAAAACAAAGATTTCTGAATCTATTCTCAATACAGTCTCCGATACTCTAAAATTAAATAACAAATAAGCCTAATGGGCCTGTTTACTCGTCTGTCTCTTTTTTATTGAACTGAATGTAACAATTAAACTGTATGTTATTAGTGGGATGTATATCAGTATTTACTTCAAGCTGTGTGATTGTGATTAAATGAAGGCAAAAATCAGCATAGTTTTGTAGACTTCACAATCAAATGTTTCCATCAACTTGAGATCATGGTGCCTACAATCCTTTTTACTTTAAGAATCACATTCACATCATTTGGAATAGACAAACATTGGTTAAAATTGGTCTAATACAACTATAAAACAAAACAATCAGGTAAATTTCAATCTCCCCAAAGAATTATGTGCCAAAGGAACTGAGTCCTGGACACTACGTTTGACAGACCATTTTATACCATTTGAATTTCATCCAGTGACATCGTGTACTCCAAAGTACATCAGTATTTCATTATTGCTGATCCCATGTCCAAAGTATGAAGTTCAAATGACGTTTTCAGTACTTTAGGAAATGGAGCCAAGACAAATGTTTTCTTAAATGTAAGTCAAAAGTGAAAATGTAGTGACCTACTTTTGGTCCATGACATATCACCTCTTTTAGGTCTACTACGGTAATAATCCATGTATGACAAGTGATAAGTAGTGTAGGAGATAGTGCCTGATGATAATGTCTGAGAGCCTAGAGTGAAGGACAACCAGAAAGACACAAATTTATTGTCACACAAGAGTGGTTCCAAGTCGGGGACAAAAATATAGGGCAAAGTTGTTATCTTGGGTTTGGGTCAATTAAAAAATAGACAGCATCTGATCAGAAAGAAATGGACAGGAATATATGATCCAGAGGGATAAGAAATGCAATGCTGTAGCAAAGAAGTTCGAGTAAAGTGTCTTTACCACTATTCTTATAAATCATTTTTCTCAAAAAGTGCATAACTGATCTTTTCGAAATAAGCAGTTGTTGAGGGGTTTGTGACAAATAATTTCTGTTTATGGTAATTTTTCATATTCATAAAATTCATGTTTAAGCTATATACAACTGAAATACCATCCTATATTGTATACCACTTTCAGTAAAACTATGAAGAAAATATTACTCCTCCCTATTAGAGATTTGATACTGTTGACCACTACAAGGTTAGAAGCTGTAAGAGATTGAGATGCTTCCTTGGCGATATCGAACGTGGGTTGCTGAAGTCATCAAAGTCAAGGACTATATGAAGGAGGGAGTAGTGAACCAGCCTCCGTTAGTGGGAATTTCCCTTTAGTTGAGCGGTAAAATGTCCACCCAAGGGTCGCTAGTTCAAACCCCAGTTATGGCAGGGTGGTTTTCATTACTCTTTCCTATTACAGATAAAACTTATTTGCTGAATATTTTTCAAATTGACTCATTTCATTTTTGTGACACATTAATTTGTTAGTATTATTGATATTACAAAAATAAGATTCACTTCTCACTGGCCAAAAACATAACTGTGATCAGACTGGTCAGCATAGAAGTGAATGGGACACATGAAGAAGAGGTGATTTCACAACTCAGTGCACAGGCACAAAAGTTAAAACCAGAGAAGACAGCAGTGAGCTTAGTTTCTTATCACTTTCTATCATATACATCACTGAAATGAAGTGACTGAAAATGCCAGAACTAGATGAAGAACAGGTCGTAAATAGATCCAATATGTAACAAAACATGGAGGAACGGACATTTGTTTAAAACGTCTCCAAAGAATGAAACAAAATTTGATATTAATCTTCATCCTCTTAAATGGGTTTTCAGCCATGTCAGTTGAATACAAGGTAGTTGTTAATTTTAAAATTGATTGTACTAATAATTTAACTAGATGTTGATTGGTTCACTGATGTGTGAAATTTCACTGACAGAATCAGTAGGTGTAATGTATGCTCAATTAAACAATATTGTATTTATGGAAGTACATATATTCAGGAAATATTGAGCATTGTCAGGTCTTTTATAGTTTTAGGCTATGGACATTAATTTTAAATGTATTAGATAAGTGCTGTGCTTCTATATAATTGAAACTAATAAGAAACCATGGTACACAGTGTATAAAATCAACACTGGCTTAACAGGTAAAAATCAACAGAAACTGACAGGTGAAAATCCATTTACTCAACGAAAGAGAGAGAGGTATTTTATTGAGTTGATTAATTAGTGGGCCTCCCATTCATCTAGTTTGTTACTATGTACACCAATCAATGGGTAGGCTGTCACACAGCCCCTCCACTGGATCGATGTACAGTCTACAGTGAGACAAGTAGCATGATATCCGCGTTCTCTCCGCAAAACCATTTTGATTCACTGGTCTTAAGCAATGTATCTTAAGTGTTTGTGATACATGCGGAAACGCCATAAAATGTAAATATGTTATTGACAAAATCTGCTCAATTAATTTATAGATTATCAAGCTGGCATTGTTTGACTCGGGTACATAAGACCAATACTGCCTACACAACCATACACAAATAATGGTGTCTTCATGAAAGAGCTGACACATTTAACAAAGACACTGTAGGACTTGGGAGAGCATAGTATGATAATAGTAACAATGACAAAAAATCAATCCAATTTTCCCAAAATACCATCAATCTGTATTGGTAATTGATAATAACTACTTGTTACTTAATAGTAAATTTTGTTTACTTCTATAAAATTTTATATCTTTTCTGCTGTAAGTGAAAATTTTGTCCCCAATGATGTAACACCATATGAATATAGGTACTTAGGCCTAGTGATGGTGTGTTACACTCTGTGGTACTCAACCCTAGTGGTGGTATGGTACTCAGCCCTAGTTGTGGTGCAATACTCAGCCCCAGTGTTGTGGTATACAGCCCAAATGACAGTGTGATATTCAGCACTAGTGGTGTTGTGGTACTGAGCCCTAGTGATGATGTGGTACTGAGCCCTAGTGATGATGTGGTATTCAGCCCTAGTGATGATGTGGTATTCAGCCCTAGTGGTGTTGTGGTACTGAGCCCTAGTGATGATGTGGTATTCAGCCCTAGTGGTGTTGTGATACTGAGCCCCAGTGATGATGTGGTATTCAGCCCTAGTGGTGTTGTGGTACTGAGCCCTAGTGATGATGTGGTATTCAGCCCTAGTGGTGTTGTGGTACTGAGCCCCAGTGATGATGTGGTATTCAGCCCTAGTAGTAATATGGTACTCAGACCTAGTTGTGGTGCCATACTCACCCCTTGTGATGATGAAGAGCTGTTGTATCAGGCCCAGTAGTAATACAGCTACCATGTATGCAGGAAGGAGAGGGCCATAGAATCTTACCAGCTGTAACATAAAGGACAGTACATCAAACTTAAGTCATAGTGATCAGCCATTTACATGGAAAATACTTCTCAACTGAATGTGGTCATCTTTTATTGAGAAAACAGGTAAAAAGCAAAGGATCACAGACACAATAATTGCTTCCATACATAGCTGCAGTACATAATAAATTGTAGTTGTGGTTTCTGAAATAAATGTAATTCATACTCGAAGGTCATTCTGAAAGAATCTGACAAGAATGGAGATTCCCTCACAGAGGCCACTGTTACAAGATGTTTTTCATACCAAACATTTGCCTGACATTCTTTATATCTGACATCTACAAAAGACTTGGGACACCTCTATTGTCATTACAGCTATCAAATTATTTTTCAATGAAAACTAAAAACTTAAAAAAAAAAAAAAAAAAAACCACAAAAAGACAGACTATGGTATGAGATTTAAAGTGAACACAGAATGTTACCAAAAGAGTAGCAGTGATTCACTAGGTATAACTGGTATATACAAATGTATCAGTGCCATCAAAATCAAAAGAAAACCCCAATACCACACAACAACAAGGTCAACCACAAACACCCAATAGCACACAACCACAAGGTCAACCACAAACACCCAATACCACACAACCACAAGGTCAACCACAAACACCCAATACCTCACAACAACAACGTCAACCACAAACACCCAATACCACACAACAAGGTCAACCACAAACACCCAATACCACACAACCACAAGGTCAACCACAAACACCCAATACCACACAACAACAAGGTCAACCACAAACACCCAATAGCACACAACCACAAGGTCAACCACAAACACCCAATACCTCACAACCACCAGGTCAATCACAAACACCCAATACCACACATCAACAAGGTTAATCACAAACACCCAATACCACACAACCACAAGGTCAACCACAAACACCCAATACCACACAACCACCAGGTCAATCACAAACACCCAATACCACACATCATCCAGGTCAATCTCAAACACCCAATACCACACAACCACAAGGTCAACCACAAACACCCAATAGCACACAAACACAAACCACACAACAATACCACACAACCACAAGGTCAACCACAAACACCCAATAGCACACAACCACAAGGTCAACCACAAACACCCAATACCACACAACCACAAGGTCAACCACAAACACCCAATACCACACAACAACAAGGTCAACCACAAACACCCAATAGCACACAACCACAAGGTCAACCACAAACACCCAATACCACACAACAACAAGGTCAACCACAAACACCCAATAGCACACAACCACAAGGTCAACCACAAACACCCAATACCACACAACCACAAGGTCAATCACAAACACCCAATACCACACAACAACAAGGTCAATCACAAACACCCAATACCACACAACCACAAGGTCAATCACAAACACCCAATACCACACAACAACAAGGTCAATCACAAACACCCAATACCTCACAACCACAAGGTCAATCACAAACACCCAATACCACACAACCACAAGGTCAATCACAAACACCCAATACCTCACAAGGTCAACAAGGTCAACCAATCACCCAATACACACACAATACCAAGGTCAATCACAAACACCACCCAATACACACAACCACAAGGTACCACACCCAATACCACAACCACAGGTCAATCACAAACACCCAATACCACACAACACACAACCACAAACACCCAATACCACACAACCACAAGGTCACAAACACCCAATACCACAATCACAAACACCCAATACCACACAAAGGTCAACACAAGGTCAATCACAAACACCCAATACCACACAACCACAAGGTCAATCACAAACACCCAATACCACACAACCACAAGGTCAATCACAAACACCCAATACCTCACAACAACAAGGTCAACCACAAACACCCAATACCTCACAACCACAAGGTCAACCACAAACACCCAATAGCACACAACCACAAGGTCAACCACAAACACCCAATAGCACACAACCACAAGGTCAATCACAAACACCCAATACCTCACAACCACAAGGTCAATCACAAACACCCAATACCTCACAACCACAAGGTCAATCACAAACAAGGTCACAAACACCCAAGGTCAACCACAAACACCCAATACCACACAACAACAAGGTCAATCACAAACACCCAATACCACACAACCACAAGGTCAACCACAAACACCCAATACCACACAACCACAAGGTCAACCACAAACACCCAATACCACACAACAACAAGGTCAATCACAAACACCCAATACCTCACAACCACCAGGTCAATCACAAACACCCAATAGCACACAACCACAAGGTCAATCACAAACACCCAATAGCACACAACCACAAGGTCAACCACAAACACCCAATACCTCACAACCACAAGGTCAACCACAAACACCCAATACCACACAACCACAAGGTCAACCACAAACACCCAATACCACACAACAACAAGGTCAACCACAAACACCCAATACCTCACAACCACAAGGTCAATCACAAACACCCAATAGCACAGAACGACAAGGTCATCCACAAACACACCATGACAATATCAATCATAAACAAGAAGGTGTGAAAGAAATTTCAAGTCAATTTGAGGCTAAAAAAAACAGCTGTTTTTTTAAAAAGCATTGCTGAACAAAATTGTGTACATATTTTAGATAACAGGGGGATAAATCGAAAACTTTGCAAAGTCAGCATAGGGGCATATTTCTATGTTGTACTGGTCATTCCCCAAAATAGTTTTAAAAAAGATCTGTTGTAAACTGAGTGAATGTATATCCAGACAAAATTGTGCTTATTTTCTATATAAAAGGGGGATAACTCTCCAAAAAGGGTGGAAAACTGAGTTAATTTGGGCTGCACATCCTTATTTTGCACTGGTCAACAAAATTTTCAAAAGATCCTTTGTAAACTGAGCGAATGCATAGCCTGCCAAAGTTTGTGAGATAAACCGTGTGAATCCCTGAGCAGAGCATAGCGCTCAACATCTCAAAAAAATTTGTATGAGTACATGAAAGCTACCATAAAACTAGTGACAATTATCTAAAAGTCACAAAAGAATAGATTCATTACTGTAGTAATATTACAGTCACTTTTCAGTCTGTGAGAAACAACCTTAAACAAGCATCTATAAAATTTACATAACAGTCACCTTTCAGTCTGTAAGAACCTACCTTAAAAGCATGTCTATTAAAACCACATTAGAACCAGCCAATAGTTAAAGTTACTGGTGAACAAGTCTTTCATCTGTAAGAGTAATACTATGGCCATCCAGAATATGGCTATAAAGTTACATTGAAGAGAATTAAAATTTGATTTTTATGCCTTTAAACATTTTTTTTGTTGAATTGAAAATTAAATTAGATGGTAATTTTACATTAGTTCCATCCTCTTTAAGGTCACAAGTCACTGTTGTGTATCTTACTGGTATTTATAGTAAGAGCTTGTGATGTACATTTTTGATACTGTCTGTAATCCCTAACCTGAGGTAGTCAACCAGAAACACTGACCTTTACATTGCCTAAGGGTCACTTGTAATATTGAAATCCTAATATCTTTGTAGTGTGATTGAAAAGAGTGACTTTAATCCTGTTGAAATGGTCAGTTTAAATGACTGAGCCTCGTCACTGACATCAAACACCTTTTTAACTTCTGTGTCCTGGGATTGTTTCTACTACTGGATAAATGACATGTTATAAGAATCAACAGGCATTAAAGAGGTCACTTTTTTGTCAAAGTTTGGGAAAACAATGCTGAACGTGTGTATAAATACCAGTGCAAACACTGACCGACTCAACTTTGGGTATTTGAGCGGTGGACTTCACGCCTGACTTCTTTGCTGTGATTGACCAATGGTCAACAGATTATTATAAAGTGCAAGGAGTAAAGATTAACTCAAACAAATCTGATCTTTTCCACGTGTTTGTGGATCATGTTTGGTTCCTGGTCATTGTTGTCAAGTGTCCCTGTTGAGGAACTACCCCTGTTGATTGAATCTAAAGGTAAGTGTAGTGTAAACCACTTCACGATTCAAACTATCATTTTTGTACAACACTTGACTAATTACCAATACATTGTCTATACTGATACTTTCATGTGCTAAGTATTCAAAATAATGAAAAATATAACATAATGACAACTAAGTGTTTCCAACACCTCATTATGTACAAGTACACTGTCTACACACAGTTGAGATCTCATTGACATCTGAGTGTTCCCAACACCTCATCATGTACAGGTACACTGTCTACAGACAATTTAGGTCTCACTGACAACTGAGTGTTCTGAACACCTCATCATGTACAAGTAGGTGGCTACAAAGACAGTCGAGATCTCACTGAAAAGTGAGTGTTCTGAACACCTCATCATGTACAGGTAGGTGGCTACAAAGACAGTCGAGATCTCACTGAAAAGTGAGTGTTCCAAACACCTCATCATGTACAGGTAGGTGGCTACAAAGAGTCAAGATCTCACTGAAAACTGAGTGTTCCCAACACCTTATTATGTACAGGTACACTGTCTATGGATAATTTGGGTTTCAAGTGATATCTGAGTGATCGAACACTCATCATGTACAGGAACACTGTCTACAGACAATTTAGGTCTCACTGACAACTGAGTATTCTGAACACCTCATCATGTACAGGTACACCGTCTACAGACAACTTAGGTCTCACTGACAACTGAGTGTTCCCGACAACTTATCATGAACAAGTACACTGTCTACAGAGACGGTCAATGCCTCACTGACAACTAAGTGTTCCAAACAACTCCAAGAATATGAAGATAAGTTATTCTTAAAATCATATTGTAATCAATGTACACCATCTATAAAGTATTGATGGATACTTCACTGTCTTATTTAAATCCTGCATAATCCAATTACCTTTGTGGATCACCAGTTAGTTGTCAGTGATCTCAAGTCTTACTATCAACTGTAGGCATGTAACCGGAGTAATTTATGGACTCTGTTGTTTGTTTAGAT